GTGCAAGGAATCTGTCAAAATAAGGAAGGAGATCAAGTTAGTAACAAATATCAAGAAATAAAACATTCTTTATAAATCATCTTAAAAGAAGAAATTATTATCAACACATAATATCAGAAGTTTGACTGTAACCTGATGGATTGTGCATCTCAAATAGCGTGGACTGCAGTTTCCAGTGTCTGTGATGATATAATCACTAGTGGCAGGCTTTTCAAGGAAACAAATTATCCATGATGAAACAAAATCAATAGAATTGAATTTAAACAAACAAAAATAACAAAAAGGAAAAGGAAAAAAAGGAGGGGAGGAGGCTAATAAGACCTAGAACATAAAAATAATACTAAGAAGTAACAACAACAACAACAATAATAATAATAAACCTTAATTTAGCAGTTTTTTCTTCCTTTTTTTGGAAGTCCAAGGTCAGTGCAGTACCAGAGGAGGAATGGCCTGATTGCCTTGACAAGTGTCATGCAGAATTATTGAGGAACTTGGAGTAGGCCTTGGACCTTGATGTGAATTAGTCTTCCATGAGTCTTCCACAGTAGCACCAGGTTGAGTGATGGCAAGTAATAATTGGTTTGGTTGTGGTGGTGGCATACCAAATATTCTAGGTGGTTGAACAGCATAAGATACTGCTGTAGGTGCAGCCACCTAAAGCAATTAGAAGGATGTAAAGAAGATTTTGCTCAAAGAAAGAAGTGTCACTTTTATTTACAGCAAATACTCCTCCCAGAGCAAATCCTCAAATTCTCGGCTTAAAAAATATCAAAGCACTTGCTAGTCATTGATGGTCAAAAGTATAAAACTATCTCAAAGATAATAACAAGAACCAAATAGTTCAGAAAAGCTTATTTTCTATATCTAACCTTACATACAAACCTCTTGCGGGCTTTTAGTCAAGTTCTACGGTGGTAAATTTGTATGTTAAAATGATGTCAATACCACTTCATCATCTTTCACAATAACCAGACATGCAATTACAAAAACGGTAACTGCCAATTCAAATATAGATATTAACTCGGGGATGCCCTAATATGGGAGGGAAATATCAATATCCACCCACGATTCCACAAGTTAACTGGCATTTACCTAGGGTATTCCTTAATTTCATCATGAACCATAAAACAGTTTCATAACATAATATTCTCTCCTAAAGAGTAATTCTGCGACTACATCCTTGTTCTTTCTAAATTATATTATTGCACCAACAAACCTAAAATCTATTAAGATTACAAAGATTAACCATCTGTTTTAAAAATGGAAAGTCAGATGTCCTGGATTTTCCCACTTCTATTTTACATACTTTCCATCTGTTTCTAACGAGCCACAAAGAGTCACAGATACACACCTTCTTGGCAACCAGCATTGCAGAGAGATTAAATTCCTACTTCTTCTGTAGTATCATTTATGTTATCAAACAGAGCCAAAAGATGAATAAGAGAAAGAACACAATTCCAGTTCTATTAGCAATTTACAGATGTAAACCATGATAATACCTGACCAGGTAGCCATGTCTGTGTCCCCAAAGGAGCAGCCAATGGTGCTGAATATGGCGAAACTGATTGCATAGGAGGTGGTGCACCAGGGCTGGAAATTGGCTGTGAAGGAGCTGAGATGGAGGAGCGCAGTGGTGATCTTACAAATGGGGGAAGAGTAGCGGCTGAATTGGGCAATGAAGATGGCTTATTGAGATTCTACTTTTGCAAATTATCAGATAAAGAATCTGGTTTTTGTGGGAAATTTGGATTGTGGGTCTGGGGTGGGGGTTCCCTTGGTGCCCCTGGTGCATTGGAGTTGCCATTTCCCTCCCTTTCTTTCTCTCTTTTCCACCTTTTTTAATTAAAAAAAAATCAAAACATCAACAAAAAATATATAAAAACAATGATCAATTCCTTTATGAATTTAACATTTTTTATCTATAATTACTAAAAAATCAACATAACAAACCTGAATTCTTAAGTTACATCAGTCAAAAAAACAAACAAAATATCAAAAACCTTTTTTTCTATAATTATTATAAATATAAACTCGATATGATCAAACGTATCTACTTACTTCACTCCCAAGAAACAGGTATCACTTTCATATTACTTCCTAGAACATTAAATCAGGGACATGCTCTATCGAATCAATTTTTTATTATCAAATGTAATAAATGCAATTAATTTAAAACGTACATTGTTTTAAGTGATTTAATCAGTCCAAAACACATAAAAAAGATAAAAAATTAAAAAGATAAATTCAGAGTAAAACCTGGGATTGAAGAGGATCAAAGAGATTAACCTGAAACGATTGAGGGTTTAGATCTTGATCAATGTTGATTAGGGTTTTAAAAGGAATGAGGATTTGGGGATAAAAAATTTAATGGCGGTAAAGAAACATTTGAGAGAAGAGCGCCTTTTTTTTTTCCTCCAGTGATCGGAGAGTCTCCGTTACGGATATATGAAGGGTCGTGCCACGTCATCCTTAAAAGGCTTATGTTTTCGAGCCATTTAGATTTGCCACGTAAGAATTTAGGCAATCTCATGTCCACGTCACGTTGTCTCTTTTAATTTTTACAAGAAACGGTCAGCCTCGATTTTAATTTTGCTTTGTCTATCAATTTAGTCAAAGATTCACTGCTTTCCTTTTTTTTTTATTTTTTATATATAATCTTTTTTGTGATTAATTTTTTTTTATGAAAAGATGAAATTATTTATGCTTTAATTAATTGTTGGGATTCGAGAAAATTAGAGAAAAAATAATTAAAAATCAAAATCTTTTTTTTTGCTTTTTAAAAATCTAAATAACAAAATTAAAACCAGGCTTACACGTATTTTTTAAATCTTAAAAAACATATTTAAACCATTTTAATATATATTTTTAATACAATTAAACCAACACAAATAAACTTTCGATTAAATAAAACTTACGCATGTCAACTATATTTAGATCCGTTGGTATGAGATTTTGATATTTAAAATTTATATGTAATATTTTTTAATTAAATAAATATAAAAATAAAAGAATTAGGGATAAATTACAATTTTTTTTAAGTAAGGCTGCGCTTTTTTTTCTCCCCCCCGCATGTTTTGGGTTTTTTTAAAGATATTTTTGGGTTAAAATTAATGAATGATTATAAATATATTTTTTAAAAGATAATTAAAATATTATTTTAAAAATATTTTTTAATTATAAATTTTTATAAATATCACTTTAATAAAATATCAATAACTTTTCATTAAAAAAATTTTTTAAGTTCTATTCCTAAGATAAGACAATGGAGGTCAAAATTTCAATGGATTTAACCCTCAATTACATCAATGCTATAAAAAATCCAACATGATCAAATAGCTTGACCAAAAAGTTGTTTTTATAAGGCAAAGCTTATCCAAAATATTTATATGAGAAAAAAAAAGCTTTGAAAGTATAATGAGATGAACTCTCACCATGTCCTAATTGCATTTTATAATTGAATTTTAAAAATTTAATCATAAAATGACATCAACATGCTGTTAAATAAAATTCAATTATAAAATGTCATCAACACACTACCAATTAAATCCTTAATCAATATTATATTTTTTATTGAAATAAATACTAAAAATAACAAGTTGTGTTCACAATACATGAATTAGTGAATAAAAAGTCATTTGAAGCTTTTGTAAGTAACTTCCAACCATGATTTATTAAACACATAAATAGTTCATTTCATAGTTGAGAAAAGTTCCTAGTAACCACTAGGTTAAAAAAAAAAAAAAATCTATGCAATGGACAAACACTTTTTTTTTTTTTTTTTACATATGAAATGGCATATTGCACAAGTTGTATTAAACTAAACATAAATATTGTCTTTAAGTTTCATTATATAAAAAAATTTTATTTTATATCATGATGATGTTACATAAATTTGATTATTTAATTATATTTTTAATTTGTTAATTAATTATTTAGTTTATTATATAAATGTAATAATTTATTATAATTATAACTTTTCAAAAAAATTAAAATAATGTTAATCATCACTCAAATTTAAATATAAAATTATTAATGTTAGATAAACTTTTATATATATTTAGAATTGTATAAATTGAAATTTGATCTATTTACCATTCTAGTAATATATTATTAGGAATTTTATTTACGTCTCATTTATTATTCTATGTATTCTATTTTTAAATATATCTCAAATTCAAAACTCAATTTTTTATTTATACTAAACACACCTTTATTCTTTACTTTTTATTTTGTACTCCTACCTTTTTTCTTTCTCTCTTCACTTTTCAATAAAAAAAAAAAAAAAACCTTAAATCCATCATATTAGCCACAAAATCACTTATATTTTTAGTTTTCTTATAATTAAAGGTAAGATTTTTATATTGCTTTTCGATTGATTTTGGTTGAATCATAGCTGAAAAGTATGTGAATATAAGTTAGGATTTGTTATAAAATTTAAGTGAAATCAAATTTTTTAAAAATAGATATTCAAAAAATTTAAAAACTTCTAAAAGATAAATTTTCAAAAAACTAAAAAGTTCTCATATATTCATTTTCAAAAAATTAAAAGGATTATCGATATCTATTTTTGAGAAATTTTAAAGATTCTTTTAAGATCTTTTTTAACTTGTTAAAAATAGATATTCATAAAATTCGTTTTCGAAATTACAATATAATTATCAAAAATTTATTTTCGAGAATTATATTATATTTTTAAAATTTTGTTTTAGAAATATAATATAATTTTTAAAAATTAGGATTACATGATTTGTAAGATTTAACAAAAAAGTGTATAAATTATTAAAGATATTTTTATTATTTATTAAAAATTAAAATTAAATTTTACGGGTAGTTTTGGAAAAAAAAATGATGTTATCAATTGAGTTCATGAATTTTTTATTTTTACCAAATATAGCTTTTATATTTTTAGAAAATTTAAGAAATATAATATCATATCATAAATGGAAGTGAAATGAAATTGATTTGATTTGATTTTCCCATAAGAGATTTCCTTAGTCATTGCCCTTACACGCGCCTACCGTGCGCGTTGACCTGTTATCTCCATTTCTTCTCTCTTTCTCTCACCCCCACACGGCCTAAGTCTAACCAAAACTAACCACCCTTCCCCACTCTTTCGTTCACCAAGTCCAACACGCTTTTTTAATCAACGAATCCTCGTGAGCCTCTTTCGTTTTTCCTCTCTCTCTCATGGCTTCGGAGCAGTACGACGCCGTTTTTGAGGAATCTCAGGACGACGACGAGGATCCCTCTTCCTCCGACAACGACCTCGATGGCAACGACGACGTTTTAAACGACGAAGAGGACGAGGAATTATTAGAGGAAGAAGACATTAATTCCCCCTCTTTTCTGCCTCCACCGATTGCTCCCGCCTTATCCTCCGCCTCAATCCCCGCTGTTCCACTTGCCGTCCCCTCCGCCACTGTTGTGACCGTGGCTTCTGTTCCAACTGACGAATCGCCTCCTGATTCCAAACGCCAACGCGTTGATTCCGCCGTAACGGAGAAAAAACCTGCCCCGCCACAACAACTTGACGAATCGCGACGGTTATTTCAACGGTTATGGACTGATGAAGACGAGATCGAGCTTCTCCAAGGGTTTCTCGATTACACAAATTCGAAAACGAACTCAAATTCTTCTTCTTCTCACCATCATCATTACGACACGGCGTTGTTTTACGACCAAATCAAATCTAAACTCCAGCTGGTTTTCAACAAGAATCAGTTAGTCGAGAAGCTTCGAAGATTGAAGAAGAAATATAGGAACGTGATGAATAAGATCAGTTCAGGTAAAGATTTTTCCTTCAAAAGCCCTCACGATCATGCTACTTTCGAAATTTCTAGAAAGATCTGGAACAGTAGTGTTGGCAAAGTAGAAGATAATGTTTTAGATGATGATGATAACAATAATAATAATAATAATAATACTTACATCAATTTAATTGATGAAAGCGGAGAGAAAAAGAATTTTACCCCAAAATCCACAGCCTCGAAGAAAAGGTCAAGAAGTAAGGGAGGGAAAATGGAAGTGAAAAGGGTTTTAAATGATGGGTTTGTGGTTACTAACAATAATTTTAATAATAGGAGTAACAATGATAATGGTAACGTGGAGGGATTTGCTGGAGGACGAGGAGGAGGAGGAAGCGTGGCGGGGGTGGTAGAGGAGGCTGTGAAGAGTTGTTTAACGCCCTTGTTTAAGGAGTTGTTAGGTAGTGTAATGGGAGGAGGAGGAGGAGGAAGAGGGATTAGTGGATTGGTGATGAATGCTATGCCCTTGAGTTTTGGAGGAAGTTTGAATTTCGGTTTTTGTGGGGGTAATGGGGAGTTGGTGGATGAGAGGTGGAGGAAACAGCAGATAATGGAGTTGGAGGTTTATGCTAGGAGGTTGGAGTTGGTGCAGGATCAGATTAAGGCTGCTTTGGAGGAGCTTCGATCGATGGGAGGCTGATTATGGAATATGGGTGCTTATTTCCATGAAAGATTTCTTGGTTATTGATGGATAGCTTGTAGTGTAGGTGAGTAACTGGTTTTTGAGTTCCTTTTCGGGTTTTCTTTTTTTGTTTATTGGATAGAAATGAACGGTTATTGGAATAATGATCTATTATTATTCAGTCTTTCAATCAATAGTTTGTACTAGTTATTCTCATTTATGTGTATATGGTTTTTATACATGGGTTGGGATGACTTGCTTAGAATAAATGACAGATGTTAATCATTAATTTAATGCAATTGTGCAAGCTCCGACATTGTAGAATTTGCAAAATAGATTCAACAGTTTGCCATTTTACTACATTGTCAAATTTAATTGAAAGTCAATTTAACAGGTCACTTGTGGTATGTTGGTGATGAGTGGAAATTTCTGGGAAGGGGTGAACAAGGGTTGGGGTGTTTTTCCTTCATTCATGCCTGTGAATTCTTCGAATCAGTAAAGCTAATTATCTATAATGAATTGCTTCTCATGAGAATGGTTTCTGATTGCTTGGCATCATTTCTCGCAAACTTGTTTAAAGGCCTGATAAAATGACTAATGTTGCCCCTGTGAAATGTATTCATATTGGATTTGTTGCTGAGATCAAAGGCTGTTTCATGCATCAAGTATGCAATGCTTGCTAGCCTCAAAGATCAAACTTCCCATTTGTGATTGTGGTTTCCGAACACAGAGATACCTAAAAAATTACCATTCAGGACCATAGGTAGGCAACGGTCCTGGGACAGCTCAGAAATAGTTGTCTGCATTAACAATCCCCTTCTGTGTGTCTACTTGGGAAACTTTGTTCATTCAGGACCTTTAACCTCTTTCCTGTAAAACATGCAACTATAGTAATTTACTTTGATATGGTTGTTGAAGTTATTCATTTTCTAGCTGAAGCTGTTTCAATATCAATAATGTTGATAGTTGAAGCTGTAAGATGCAGAACTTGATTATTTGGCTGCATCTGTTTTTAATTCATTTCGATGCCGGTTAAACATTAGATGGATGCTAGTATCTGTTGGTAGCCTGGTTGGTAGTAGACTTGGTAGTCATGGCATTGTCAGGGAAGACATTTGGTTTATACCATTGGGTTAGTTAAATTATCTTTTCTGTTTTCTCCCTTTTCTCTTTTGGGATTGTTTATTATTGGATGGAACCTTGAGAGAATGAAAAGGGGAAAAAGAGGAGAAATTTTTTATTGTACTCCTGGAAGAGTAAAACAAAAGGGATGCAAAGGAAAAAGATTAAAGAAAAAGAACTGGTCATCGGGAAAAATTGGTTTGGACTTAAAAGTATAGACACGGTGATTCATGTACAGAGGTAGCAATGGGTGAGGGCGGGTTGAATTTTTGTTCGTCTCGAATTCAATTCAATTTTATATAAATAATATCCGATCTCGAATTCAATTCAATTTTATATAAATAATATCCGAACTCGATTTGATAATTTTTAAAAATTTTTATATTTGAATTCGATTCAATCTAATATTATATAAGCTAGTATTTGATTTGAAATTAAAAAAATTATTTTTTAAATATAAAATATTATTTTTAATGTAAATATAAAAATATATACATAAATATATAATTAAAAAATAATTATATATATGGTTTGGTTGGATTTAATTTAGCTAAAACTCGATTTTAATTCTTTTTTATTATTACCAACTCGACATGAACTTGATTTAAAAAAAATTTGACTTTAAAATGTCTAAATCGGATTGAAATCCGTTAATGATGGATTGGATTGTTATTTTTATTTGTGTATTTGTGTTGCGTAAGATTTGAAGATTTGTATATTTATATTATATAAAATATTAAAATTTATGTTTTTATGTCATATTTTACATAAGAAATTTTATCATAATATAAAATATATATTTTTTATTCTGTTAAATTTATATATAATAGTTACTAAAATTTTAAATTATTTTATTATTATTTTTTTTTCATGTCGTATTCACGTTATTATATCATGTTTTAGATTATTAGATGTGATAAGTATTGACATGATTTTCATTGGACATAATGGAACATTTGTTCTCGCCTTTGAAAATTTCTAATCAGAAATTTGTTGTTATGCGCGAGGAGTCCTGGGAATATTGAATGTCGAATGTTGATCACGTTTTGGCTGTTGGGTAACTTACCCCTGTTAATCGTATGACTGATTCCTGGTTGCTCAACTAATAAATTTTTTATTATCAAATATTAGGGAAATTATCAATCACCGCTTAATTTAGTGATGCTATAATCAATTTTATGATTGAGAGTTTCGATTATAATTCAAAAGAAAAATTAAATGGGCTGCTGGACCCAACTCAGAACCAAAAGCCCATAAAAGAATCTACAATCTACTGTTACACACTCACCTACCTTATCCCCGAGCTCCTTTTCAAACAAGGGCACTATGCCCTTCAATGGATGAAGGATCCCTTTCATTTCTACGACACTCGGTACACAAAAAAAAAAAAAAAAAAACCTCCATTGAAATGGCTTCTGCAACAGCAAGGCTCACCTTTTCTTTGCACCACTTAACCCAAGCACCATCTCCAAAACCACAAAAACCTCTTCTCTTTCTCTCCCTTAAACTCCCCACAACTTCACTCAAACGTCAAACCCCACAAAAGGCAACAGCATTTCACCATCCATTCCATTGATGTCTCCCAAGAAGACAGCCAAGACACCCCAACTTCAGACCAAGAAACTAAAGATGCATTAAAAGAAAAGTTTGACAAACGCAGGTTAGAAGAGAAGTTTGCAGTGTTGAACACAGGAATATATGAGTGCAGGTCATGTGGTTTCAAGTACGATGAAGCAGTGGGTGATCCTCCATATCCAATACCACCAGGGTTTCAGTTTCACAAATTGCCTGATGACTGGAGATGCCCCACTTGTGGGGCTGCAAAGAGTATCTTTGAGAGTAAGAGTGTGGAAATTGCAGGCTTTGCACAGAACCGGCAGTTTGGATTAGGAGGGAATGCTCTTACTTCTGGGTGAAAAGCTATATTAATATATGGTAGTTTGTTCTTCTTTTTTGTGCTCTTCTTGAGTGCTCTTACTTTTTGCACAGAACCATGGTGGAAAGATTAATAGATATATTTATATATAATTAAAACAAATAAAAAGGGATTGTGGAATTAATTTTTTAATAAAATAAACAAATATATGTTAAAATTTTATGCAAATATAGACATTAAAATAACAATGAAATTATAAATTTTTTCAAGAATTATAAATTTTCACATAACATGAAATTTGTTATTAGTTGATGTCATTTAGATTTAAATTAATTACTTTATATTAAAAATGTTTAATTTTTTTTTCTCTTAATGTGTTATGACTACTTAATTGATATTTTAATAAATATATGGAGTAAATAAAAAAGTTGAAAAAGAAAAGAAAATACCAAAAATTAGGACTCATCTTCTAACTTTTTGTTATTTGTCTTTGAATTTTTATTTTTTTAATATTTTTATTTTTTCTTTCTTTGTAATAAAAAGTTTTAAAAAAAAAACCTAAAAGGAAAAAAACACAATAATTACCCAAATAATAAAAAGCTGAAGAAGACTCAAGAGCCACTTTATTTATTAATAATATATATAGACTTATAATTTTTCTGGATATTACTCGAATAAACTTTGAAATTTTATTTAAAAATAAAATTATGCTATTGATTTTTTATTACATAAAATTAAGATTCTGAATTTGTATTTTATTATAATTAAATTTTTAATGGTATAAAATATTCATTTTTTGTTATAATTTTTTAGTTAAGATGATTTAATAAATATGTACTTAAATTTATTTGGATGAATTGAATAATAAATATTTAAAAAATATTATTTTAAAATTATATCAATTGAATATTATTCATTTATATTTAAGATTTAATAAATATAATTATAGTAAAATAAAAATTTATAACCTTAATTTTATGTAATAAAAGACTGAAAGCTAATTTACATTTTGGAATAAAATTTAAAGATTTATTTAAGTATAAAGCCTAATTTTTTAATATAAAATTAATATTAATTAATGTCATAATAAAAATATTAAAATAATAAACTCAAAATTTAACTTAATTAATTTATATAATAATTTTGAGATAATATTTAATAAATCTAAATTTAAATCATAAAATATTTATAATTTTTTTATTTTTAAATTACAAAATTTTTATAAAATTATATCTATAATAGTGACAACTTAAGAAGTCATGATAATGTTACAGACTTTGGAAGTCAGAAGAAAATTTTCTTATGATTTAATTATAAAATAATATTATAAAACAAAACAGAAGGAGGTAAAATAAGAAAATAAATTAAAAAAAAAAAAGAAAGAAAAAACTAATAAAAGAGAAAAACAACTTTTGTGCAAACCAAAGAAATGTTCTTTTTGACATTAACATATGACCAAATCAAAAGCCATATTAACAAGTAAAAAAAAAAAACCCAAAATTACAAAAAGGATGAATAAAACTAAAGAAATAAAAACACTTTTGAATCTTTTGGCTTTTCCTTGCAACCAAACGCCAGATTGTTTATAGGCGGCTAGTTGGCCAAGACAGCATTGTTATTTTCTTAAGAGGAGATATTGATAACACAAAGGAACTTTCTTGTTTCTCGGCGTAGAAAAGGTTAAGTCTTTGAAGTCTTTATTTTTTTAGCTGATGTATTACTTCCTACTCAAAGATTTTGCTGAAAAAAACACTACCGTTCTTTGGAAAAGTTGCAAGCATGGAGTTTGGGGACTTTACATGTGTAAAATTCTTGTTCTTGTTTGTGTTTTTAAGGTTGGATTTATGGTTTTTGTATGTTACTGATGTTCTTTTTGATGTTTTCATATATGGGTTTTTTCTTGATTACTGTAACTTTCAGGGGGATTTGGTTTTGCTTTTGGATTGATCAAGTTCATGATCATTTGTAGGCTCCCTTTAATGTCTAATACTTTGGGAACTATTTTCTCTTCCAGAGAGACTCTGTGCTGTACCTCAATTGTATATTAATCCCAAAATTTTTGCTAAAGGGTAAAATTACTAAAGTGTCACTAATTGCTATTTCTGTTAAATTATTGAAATTGTTGTGTAAGATCAAAATTTCTTTTTTTTTTTTTTTTGGTTTTAAGTATGATTACTTATCTTTTTTTATTATTATTAGTTTAGCTTGTTTTGCTGAATAAGTCAGCCCTGGAATGCTTGTGCAGTAACTTGAGAAGAAATGGAGGACAAGAGTTTAATTGCCAAAGATGTCACTGAAGTAAGCTGTTGTTCATCTTCATCAATAAAGTTGTAGGAATTTATTTGTATTTAATTTAAGAAAACTATTGTTAACCTTGTTAATCTTGTTGGGTTTGACATAAACAGTTGATTGGTAAAACACCACTGGTATATCTGAACAATGTTGTGGATGGATGCGTGGCTCATATTGCTGCCAAGTTGGAGGCAATGGAACCCTGCTCCAGTGTCAAGGACAGGTATTACACTATTTCCACCTCTCCATTCAGAGATGTATCAGAAAACATCACACACAAGATTGATCATGATAAATGCTATTATGCTGCATTAAGTTATGTAGTGCTGGAGTTTTTAATCTTTGATGAGATGCAAAAACTTCTTTGTTTGCAGGATTGGATATAGTATGATTGCAGATGCAGAGGAGAAGGGTCTCATTAAACCGGGTGAGGTTGGTATTTGGATATTTCTTTCATAGAAATTCATGTAATGGAATTTTCAAGTTAATATTAGGTTACTGTCACTTTGCAAGTAAAATTATGCATTGAATTCTGCTTATGCCGTTATTCATGATGTTGGGCCTTATTGCTGGTAAATGTTTGTAAGTTTGTTGCATCCAAATAAAATGATTGTTTTATTCAAGGTGATCTTTGTAGTTAAAAGACACTAATGAGAATGCAAGCTTTGTTGAGACAATAGACCTCGTTGAATTAGCGGTGTTTATAACTCTTCAAAGTTTTGAGTGGATTATACTATTGTCACTGTGCCATATGATGAAATTATGCACTGTTGTCAACTTGAAAAGCATCTCTGTTGAATTTCTTAGGCCTTCTATTGTTTGTTCCTTCTAAAATCTAAATCCAAATTCCATAACTTTTTTTATGTGCAAAAGTAGGGCTGTCTTCCTGCTACTATCATGATTGTGTTGATTTAATGTCAAAATTACCTTTAGTTTTGATTGATAAACTTAATGAGAGAAATTTTAACTTTACATAAATTCCATTTTTCCTTTATGCTGAAGAGTGTCCTTATTGAGCCAACCAGTGGTAATACTGGAATAGGATTGGCATTCATGGCAGCTGCTAAGGGTTACAAACTCATAATTACCATGCCTTCTTCAATGAGTTTAGAAAGGAGAATGGTCCTCCGAGTTTTTGGAGCTGAGCTGGTTCTTACAGATCCAGCCAGGGTCATGAAAGGGGCTGTTCAGAAGGCTGAGGAAATTCTGGCAAAGACTCCTAATTCTTATATTCTTCAGCAATTTGAAAACCCTGCCAACCCAAAGGTATCATTTGGAAACTTTTTTACCCATATTTTGATGGTTGGAGCGATGGAGGATGTCATGATCTGATTCTTTTTTCCTGATTTAGATACATTATGAGACAACTGGACCAGAGATATGGAAAGGCACTGGAGGGAAGGTAGATATTCTGGTCTCTGGTATTGGGACAGGAGGTACTGTAACAGGAGCAGGGAAGTATCTCAGAGAGCAGAATCCTGACGTTAAGGTTAGATTTTCCGATGCCTAATTAGATGGAATAAATTATGACTTCAATTACTAAATTGTGTTTGTCAATGATTGTGCTTTAGTGTTGCTTATATTGCCCCTTGCCTTTTTCTGTTCAGATCATTGGTGTGGAACCAGTTGAAAGTGCAGTGCTTTCTGGAGGGAAACCTGGTAAGTTGTAATGTTTACAATGTTTTCTTTTCACATTGTTCTTCATATTGCATATTCTATTTTCTGTACTTTTGTTGTTTTCTACAATCTATAACCGCTAGCTGAGTAGATAGGAACTATGCTTTGTATCTCGAAAATGATCATGAGAACTTGATTATTGGTTTCCCTATTTTAATAGGATAGGGGCTTGGTTGATTTTTTAATTTTAGTTGAGGGTTTTTTCTTTTGTAATATTTAAGCCTACTCAGTTCTTGAAGTTTCTTGGTTCAAGACTTCAAGTATTTAGCTTTAAACTTATTTTTTTCCATTTCCAATTATAATATTTGATTGAGATCAAATTTGAAAATTTGCTCTTCTACTTTTGTCCCTAATAACCAGGATACTAGCATTGTCTTTGGTCAGTCTTGTTGTAAGATTTTATATATGTTTGCAATTATTAACCGAAAGTTGTTTTCTTTTGTTCCTCATGCTAACTTAAGATTTTGTAAGAATTTTTTATCTATTGATGAACTGCTTGCATTTTTAACGTTCAAGGTCCACATAAGATCCAAGGAATTGGTGCTGGCTTCATCCCTGGTGTTTTAGATGTCAATTTACTTGATGAAGTTGTCCAAGTAAGTCTCCGTTGTATTTATTTATTCAGATTATATTTCACTCAATGTGGGATGTAAATGCTAATTTCTGTGGACATGTAAAGAACTTGCATTTTTCCTATGCCATAATTCATTACCAGTTACCTGTATGATTGCAGATATCCAGTGAAGAAGCTATTGAAACAGCAAAGCAACTTGCTCTGAAAGAAGGATTGTTGGTAAGTTTCTTCACTTTAAGTGACATAATTTGATAAGGGAATCCATAGCCTTGTTTGCACTTGTTCACCCGTAAACTGAATTCAACTACACTCAGGTTTCTGTTTGTGGATTCCTTCTGCAATTTCCTTTAATTGTTTGGAACATGTATTACAGGTAGGTATATCATCCGGTGCTGCTGCTGCTGCTGCAATTAAGATAGCCAAGAGGCCCGAAAATGCTGGGAAACTCATTGTTGTAAGTTTTATTATTTTATTTTAGAAGTCAATCCAACATCATCCTGTCTAAACATGCCAATGATGCAATACTGCCAAAGATAAATACCATTATCGAAACAGGCTATTTTTACATTTCTGTCTATTACTCTGACTTTACAGTACTGGCATATACATGAATTATAGGTTATATCAAAATCATTTTAATTTTGAACCTAAACAGGTGGTCTTCCCTAGCTTTGGTGAGCGTTATCTCTCATCCGTGCTGTTTGAGTCTGTGAAACGGGAGGCGGAGACTATGGGTTTTGAGCCTTGAAATGAACCGAATCCTAGTGTCAAAATGTCATGATTATCAGTTTGAAATATGGAGAAGAGAAGTTACTTATCAAGCAGCATGTTGATCTTTCCAATGAATGGTTTTGTTTCCTCCTTGGGTTCTCAAAAGACCTTAGAAATAAGTCGGCTTTGCTGTAGTCAATCTAGTCTATAGATGGATTAAGAGGAAATGTTGTTTGGAGATGGTATTTGAAGCTTTTTTGCTTTGCTGTGAGGTTGAACAAAAACAGTCATCAACACTGTAGTTCTATAAAAACAATGTTGTGAGATTAAAAATAAAATTTGATGTTTTCCATTGAAAACTCTCTTTGAAAACAGCTCGGATTGCTGATTGCATCATTGTGAACTAAATTTTCAAGCATCAGCCCCTAACCAATCAGCTTTGTTGACTTTTATGTTTTCCATTGAAAACTCTCTTTGCAAACAGGTCGGATTGATGATTGCATCATTGAGAACTAAATTTTCAAGCATTAGCTCCTAACCAATCATCTTGTTGACCGGAGGCATCATCTTTCTTTCGCAATTCGTTATCCTCTACCATCTCCGCCTGCATAGCAAAACCGGCAGACCAAGATATGCACAAATACCTTAAAAGCATTCCCTGGCGCAAACGTTACGACTGAAATTGGTCAGGGGCCGCGCGAACGCAGGCCCCCACTACCACAAATTATGACGTAGGCTCTCCCACTTGGGGAGACCTTAGGCAAGCGCCCCTCCCAAGTGCAATGGAGGTCGCTTACCTAGGCCATGGGTTTTATTGATCACCCATTGACCCCGTCCAGGTAAGTATGTTTCAACGCAGCTAGCTGCCTCTTATTTATGAAACCACGCTCGTGCTCGTTCCTCTTAGTTCTTCGATATGGGACTGCACCTCAGCATGAAGCATCTCCTTGGTTCGAACTTCCTGGTGACTGGTGAGTCAAAAATCAAAATGAAGAAAATATCAAAACTCCAAGAAAATACCATATCATGCATACAACAAAACATATTTGTATAAGTTTTCATGCAATTCTGTTGAACAAATTCAGCATTTGATAGATGCAGAGGATTAGAGAAACCGCAGCACTATGCTTGGAATTGTCATTAAGCTTAATCAGTTATCATGAGTTTGCATAAGCTTTCTCCATGGAAGTGGGGTTTTGTTCCTATGACATAGTGCACACGAACTCACTAGTGCAAATTTTAACCTGATCTTCAACTGTATAATGAATGCACCCATGGCTACCAGGAAGAGATTTTCAATCCAGTTCATCACATTTTGTTTCAATCCTCCCTTTTTGCTTTTACAGCGAGCCTGTTCAATGACCATGGCAGCCAAGCTAAACTGGATTTCCGTGTTTTGTTCTTTGAATCATCATTTCCAATGAATCTAAAGCAGGCCTTGAAAAAGGATTTCTCTGAGAATGTTTTCCATTACCATTATTTCTATTATTTCCAACAATCTCGTCCAATCATAGCTGTGGATATTGCAAAATTGAAAATGAAATCCGCAGTAACCATGAATCGATATTTATTCATACACGGCCTACAAGTCATAGTTTGAGTATTGATTTGTATAGATTTTGAAGGGGGCCGCGCGAGCACGAGCCCCCAACTGCCACAAATTTTGACGTACACTCTCCTCTATAGGGAGATGTTAGGCTGATGCACCCCCACAACGTGCAATGAAGACCATCAACCTAGGCCATGGGTCTTCTTGATCACCCATTGACCCCGTCCAGGTATGTATGTTTATACTGCATCATTTTCTCCAGTTTAAAGCACCAATCTCCACCTCCATCTTGCTTCCTTTTCTAATGTGGGATACTGGCAAATATGGCTTCTCAAACCAGTGAACTGCAAGAGTTGGCTTTCTTGGGGAAGTGGGGCCCTTGCCTAGTGAACTAACCAAATTGATTGGTAATGTAAATTCATAAAGTTTCAATCATCTATCTGTGTGGACAAGTTGAATTTCTTCAGAAATTTGGGTTATGGTTATGCCAGAAAAGGGTTTTTTGGACCTGTTTCAGCTTCAACTTAATGGGACAACATTTCATTTATTTCTTTAGTTATTGTAGAAATTTGGCTGAGAACTACTGAACTACTTAAGAGTTTCATCATTGTGCATTAACCAGTGAAGTTGCGCAGCAAAGCTGCAATTCAATGAACTCTTCCCTGTGTTGTTCTGATGAAGGTGTAAGCCATTTCTTGGAGAGTCTAGGAGCCTAAGTTATAGTTCAATGAACCGTTTGTCAGTAGTTTGATATTTGTGGGAACCAACTAAAATGAAAAGGATACTGTCCAAATTACTCAGATTGAGACTTGAGATGGGGCAAGAATCATAAGCCTTCTATTGAACTACCAAATAAACAGCTCCCATCGCAGCCATTTTCTTTGTTTTTGCCGTGTTGGACAAGAAAATATGACCAAGAGGGAAGAAAATATTTTCCACATTCCGTAGTCACATGGCTTACCCTATTGACTAGCAAAAAGGGCAACAGATTTTGTTGTGTAAAAGGAAGTATCACCAAGAAAAGAGAAGTGATAAGGATGACAAGTGCAGGAAAGGCCATAACAATCCAGCTATTCCATTCAACTATCTCAATGAAAGCTAGTCTTTGTAAATGTAGTCAATGCAAAGAATTTAAAAAACAAGTTTCAAATCTACATGGGTATAGCTATCAGGGTTGGCATCCCAATCAAATCTCGACTTGATCTTATAAGATCAAAATTTAAAAAAAAAAAATTGAATTTTGGGTCTAATAGAATAAAATTAAGTAAAAATTAAGATTAAATCATATTTAAATTTTAAATAAATTTGATTTAAAATTATATAAAAATTATTTTTTAATTATTTATTTATATAATTATATTTAAAAAATAATATTATATTAATTTTAAATCAAATCAAGATTTATATAATATTAAATCAGATTAATTTTAAATAAAAAAAATTTAAATTTTATAATTAAAAAATTAAATCAAATTTAAAATGAGTAAAAGTTTGATCTGATCCGATCCTTACTAATCTTAATAGTCCCATCCATGGACAGACTGCGTTCTGTCTGCTGTAAGACGCATACCTTTGACCTTGGGAAAGCAGTAATGAAATGAAAAGTTGATTATTCACTGCATTTAAGTGCAAGTGGGAGAAAAAAACAAGACTTCTTTACATATTTGAAGGCTAAGTCTGAAGGGGGGGTACAGTATTGGGGTTACCAATGATAATTGGCCTTCAATTGGCTGTATAACATAATAAAAGACAAAGCTCATCAGCCGCATCATCGATAAAAATCTGCTTCCTTTTTACCATGTGTTTTCCATATTATCTTTTTATTTTTGACTTGTTTTTTGTTAGACTACCCAAAGACACCCCTTAGAAATATCTGTAGCATAGGACCAATCCTCCTATTGTAATTTTCTTTCTATGCATTGGCAGTTTCATTTTTTCTTGTTTCTTTGACATTCTTGGATATGATTTATTTCATTTTTTTATTGTTTGGTAAAATTTCCAATGGTTTGACTGTTTCAATTTGCATATGTGGAAAGTAAGTATTTCTTGTTCACTACGCTGTTCTATGCTCTTTATAAACTTTCAGAAACTTGGGTGTTTCAGTTCCCGCAGTGGCAGGTACTGAAATTCTTTTTAAACAAAATACTGGGTACTTGAAATCAATTGTGTTTTCCTTAATTCTCTTCTCTGTTCATCACAGTTTATTACTAACTATAGTAGGCTTTGACTTTTAGTTTTCCTCAATTTCGACTCTATGTTCATCATAGTTGATTATTGATTATAGTAAGTTTTCACTTTTGATTTTCATGCCTCCTCACCTGTGCACTACCAACCACTTGTTTCCTTTGCTAGATTGCAGTTCTTGTTCTATCAGGTTGCAGAATTTGGAGAATAAGACATGGAGGAGAATTGTGCAATCAAGAAAGATGTTACTGAAGTAATTTTTATTCTCAATCATTAAAGCTTCACACTGCCCTTTGTCTTCTGCTTCTTCTTCTTTTTCAAAATTTCCTTTGATTCTCTTTTGTGGCTTCTGCAGTTAATAGGTAATACACCTATGGTATATCTGAACAATATCGTGGACGGTTGTGTAGCTCGCATTGCTGCCAAGCTAGAGCTAATGGAACCTTGCTCCAGTGTTAAAGACAGGCATAAGCTTTATTTACACTTGATTGTATTTTCTTCACTGCACCTTGAAAGTGTTACCTGCAAATTAACACCTTTGGTCGTTCTTTATTGATATACAGGATTGCATACAGCATGATCAAAGATGCAGAAGATAAGGGCTTGATTACAGCGGGGAAGGTATAGTGGACATTTCCATATTTGAAGATGCTTTGCTAGGTGTAGCTTTCAAATTAATGCATGTGCAGTAATCGGTTGATAATCTGATTAAGAAGAGTTATAGATCCAAGAACACCTGAAATTTATATAGTTTTATTGACTACAAAAGTGAGTTGATCAGTTTATCAGATATGCCTAAAATTGAATGTCGTCTGTTGCAATTTACAAATGTCTATCTTGCTCGTGTGAGGCTTAAACTAATATCTTCTGCTTCAATTATCTTCTGATTAAATGAGGACTACTTTCCACATGGATGGTCCAATATGGAACGTTTAAGCTAACAATTTCCCTTTGGTTCTGCATATATGCAAATAATATTGGCTAAAGACTGTCCTCATTGAGCCTACCAGTGGTAATACTGGCATTGGATTGGCTTTCATTGGGGCAGCCAGGGGTTATAAAGTTATCGTTACAATGCCAGCATCTGTCAGCCTTGAGAGGAGAATTGTTCTTCGAGCTTTTGGCGCTGAGGTATACCTCACTAACCCTGCCATGGGCATTAAAGGGGTTATAGACAAGGCTGAGGAGATACTAAATAAAACACCTAATGGTCACATGCTTCGGCAATTTGCAAATGCTTCCAATCCACAGGTATTATCTTTACTGTTAACTTTTCTATATTTCATAATCCCAGTTGATGTTTAAAATGAACCAATGAATTCTTTGTTTAGATTCATTATGAAACCACTGGTCCGGAGATATGGAAAGACTCGGGTGAGAAAGTTGATGTGCTGGTTGCAGGCATAGGAACTGGTGGTACTGTAACAGGTGCAGGCAAATTCCTCAAAGAGAAAAACTCAGAAATCAAGGTTTCCTCTTTTTTTTTTTTCAATTGAAGAGATGATGCCCACATTTTGCACTGAAAGTCATGCAGAGAGTCAATGTTCTGGTTGTTATGTTATTGAGAGCATTTTCTTCTTGTGTTGACATATAGGTATATGGCATAGAACCAGCTGAAAGTGCAATCCTGAATGGTGGAAAACCTGGTAAGTTTCAAGTTTCTTTCACCCTTCATTCTTCCTTTCTTTTTTACTGATATTGTCAAATTCTTCTAATATTATTGGATTTAATGTTGTTCGAAACTGTGAAGCTGTAAAACATTCTGTTTTACCTACCCTATATGGAATTATGTTGTTGAACACAATTTCATAACCTTCATGACTTGAGTAATATCCAGTACTTAACTATTTCCTTTATGACATTGCCTGCCATATCAAAGGCCCTCATCCGATCCAAGGAATTGGTGCTGGTATCATCCCTGATGTTTTGGATGTTGGCATCCTTGATGAAGTTATTCAGGTAAGTCCCAATAGCATCCTTGATGATACTGTTTGTTTTCCCAATAAGAACTGATTCTCTCCCATTATTTACTTTCATTTTCCATGGCAAGTATCAACCATCTCATCCATGTTAATTTTTTATTCCATTTATTTATGCTTCTGCGATAACCTTTTAGGTATCTGGTGAAGAAGCCATTGAAACTGCTAGACTGCTAGCCTTGAAAGAAGGTTTGCTGGTATGTTCAGAACAATTAATGGATTCTCATGAGATATGACCTTCTACAACACTTGTTTTTTTCATCTTTTCCTTTTTGTTATTACATAAGTTAAATTTATATATGCCTTGACAGGTAGGTATATCATCTGGTGCTGCAGCAGCGGCTGCGATTAAGTTGGCAAAGAGGCCAGAAAATACCGGCAAACTCATAGTTGTGAGTCGCATTCCCTTCTTCAAATTGATATATCCTATAATGATTCTAGATAAAAGTTGATTAACTCTGAAAAATTATTTTACAAGGTGGCTCAAATGACAGTTTCTGCAGTTCTTGATTTGTCTTGTCTCGTTTATATTGTCAAAATATATGCTAGTTGTTGGTTGAATCTTAGATTATTGAATCTGTCCATTCAAGTAAAGGAGGTTCTCTGAGATTCCCATTACAGAAAAAAAATCTTCACAACAATCCAGGTTTTCTAAAGACTTGTTTCTGGCACAAGCTAATGCAGAGCCCTATTGGTATCCCATTGTCACTTGAAAAGTTCTTCATAGTTTGGCTTATACCAGTCACTCAAATTAAAGGTTGGAATTGATCTGTAAAAGGGTGTCCGGTGCAAAATCTTCTGGTATTTGAATTGCAGGGTAAAAAATGGTTACATGATTAGGGAGATTAAGGAGAGACTTCACCACATCTTAAGCATAGAACTTGACTTAAAACCTGATAGCTTATTCATGATGCATGAAAGGGCAGGCCCTAGTTAGGTTCAGACTTGAGATCCCAAAAGCTAGATCCATCAATTTCTGTATCTGTGTTCGTCTATTTCATGTCAAACACCAAAATTGTTGTCACAATTCATGTCAACATACCTAACACTAAACACATATCTTGGTTTTCATATACGATTTTTATTAAAATTTTAAATCATATCGATTTGGTATTTTTTTTATCATTTTGTTATCATGTCATTGTGTACCATTTAAAATGATGAGTTATGTCAAAAGGATAAGGTTATGTCCATATGTTTTCCATTTCCGGCCTTAGCCTGAATTTTTGCTTTGCTGAACTGGTTTTGCATCACTGGTAGAACAAGTAAAAAGTCTTGCACAGCTGAAATCTCCTGTTTGTTAATTTTCCTAATTCTCGAGCCTTTTTTCCTCTTACGCAGGCTATTTTCCCCAGCGCCGGTGAGCGTTACCTGTCTTCTCCATTGTTTGACACCTTAAGGCATGAAGCAGAAAACATGACCTTTGATTGATGCACCGTCCAACTCAGAAAAGTGCTCTTTCCTGACTCAGCAAATCATTGTATTTTGCATTCCACCATGGACTGAGCCTGGCTTCTTTTGTTTTTCATTCTAGCTTATGTATCAGACTGAAAAATCTTAAAACTTCCCTGGCTGTAAGAGAGCTTAATAAGTAGAAAAAACCTTCTACCTCAAATTGGTTTGAGGATTTTTTAGTAAATTTTCTTTACAGTACACCAAACATGTCTTAAAGAATATATATGTCTTCTTTCAAACCAACATTTAATTTCATTTTCTTTTTTAATTCACATAAAGCAAAATGCCAAGAACAAAGAATAAAATATTAAAAAAAATCAATGTTTATTACAAGTCTATGCACTAATATTGGACAAAAATGTAGGAAAAAAAAAGAGAATATGCAGTGAGATATGAAAAATATGAATAAATTAGTTTTTTGTAGTAAGATTTTTTATATGATTTATAATGAAGGAGGGGGACTGGAATACGTATTATAATTGTTTACCAAATATGCATGTAAATGTGTTTTGCTATCAAAAATTTTTTTAAACATAAATAAAAAACGATATGATTTAAAATTAAAGAATATATATAAATTTATCAAAAATCAAAAAATATAATTCATATTTGATACGTGGATAAAAATTATTACATAATAATTTTTATATTTTACATGTCTTTTGTATAAAATATGATATAAGAAAATACAAGCAAACGGCCTGACCATTTGAGACTTGAGATGGAGCAAGAATCATAAGCCTTTTATTGAACTACCAAATAAACCGCACCCATCCCAGCCATTTTCTTTGTTTTTGCCGTCTTGGACAATAAAATATGAAGGGACAAGCGGAAAATGACCAAGAGGAAAGAAAATATTTTCCACATTCGAAAGTCATGTGGCTTACCCCTCTTGACTAGTAAAAAAGGAAACAGATTTTGTTGCGTAAAGGAAGTATCAACAGGGAAAGTGAAGTGATAAGGATGACAAGTACAGGAAAGTCCATAACAATCCAGCTATTCCATTCAACCATCTCAATGAATGCTAGTCTTTGTAAATCTCAATGCAAATAATTTAAAAAACAAGTTTCAAATCTATATGGGGTATAGTTATATCCATAGACAGTCTGCGTTCTGTCTGCTGTAAGAAGCTTATCTTTGGCCTTGTTAAAGCAATACTGAAATGAAAAGTTGATTATTCACTGTATTGAAGTGCAAGTGGGAGAAAAAAACAAGACTTCTTTACTTATTTCAAGGCTAAGTTCGAAGGGAGTTGGTACAGTTTTGGAGTTACAAATGCATAATTTGCCTTCAATTGGCTATATAACATAATAAAACACAAAGCTCATCAGCTGCATTATCGAATATCAACATCTGTTGCCTTTGAACCATGTGTTTACTTTTATACATATTATCTTCTTATTTTTGACTTGTTTGTTGTTAGACTACCCAAAGGCATCCCTTAGAAATATCTGCAGTATAGGACTAATCCAACTATTGTAAATTTCCTTTTATGCATTTACGGTTTCATTTTTTCTTGTTTCTTTGACATTTTTTGATATGATTTATTTCCCTTTTTTTATTGTTTGGTAAAATTTCCAATGGTTAGTCTGTTTCAATTTCCATTTATGGGAAATAACTATTACTTGTTTACTCCGCTTTTCTATGCTCTTTATAACTTTCAGAAACTTGGGTGTTTAAGTTCCTCCAATAGCAGGTACTGAAATTCTTATTAAACAAAATACTGGGTACTTGAAATCAATTGTGTTTTCCTCAGTTCTCTTCTCTGTTCATCACAGTTTATTCCTACATATAGTAGGCTTTGACTTTTGGTTTTCCACAATTTCGATTCTATGTTCATCATAGTTGATTATTGATTATAGTAAGTTTTCACTTTTGATTTTCATGCATCCTCACCTGTGCATTACCAACCACTTGTTTCCGTTGCTAGATTGCAGTGCTTGTTCTATCAGGTTGCAGAATTTGGAGAACAAGACATGGAGGAGAATTGTGCAATCAAGAAAGATGTTACTGAAGTAATTTTTATTCTCAATCGTTAAAGCTTCACACTGCCCTTTGTCTTCTGCTTCTTCTTCTTTTTCAAAATTTCCTTTGATTCTCTTTTGTGGCTTCTGCAGTTAATAGGTAATACACCTATGGTATATCTGAACAATATCGTGGAAGGTTGTGTAGCTCGCATTGCTGCCAACCTAGAGCTAATGGAACCTTGCTCCAGTGTTAAAGACAGGCATAAGCTTTATTTACACTTGATTGTATTTTCTTCACTGCACCTTGGAAAGTGTTACCTGCAAATTAACACCTTTGGTCATTCTTTATGGATATGCAGGATTGCATACAGCATGATCAAAGATGCAGAAGATAAGGGCTTGATTACACCAGCGAAGGTAAAATGGACATTACCATATTTTAATGTGCTTTGCTAGGTGTAGCTTTCAAATTAATTCATGTGCAGTAATTGGTTGATAATCTGATTAAGAAGAATTATAGATCCAAGAACACCTGAAATTTATATAGTTTTATTGAGCACAAAAGAAGTTGATCGCTTTATCAGATATGCCTATACTTGAATGGGGTCTGTTGCAATTTACAAAGGTCTATTTTGCTCGTGCGAGGCTTAAACTAATATCTTCTGCTTCAGTTGTCTTTTGATTAAATGAGGACTACTTTCCACATGCATGGTCCAATATGGAACATTTAAGCTAACAAACCTCCCTTTGGTTCTGCATATATTCAAATAATATTGGCTAAAGAGTGTCCTCATTGAGCCTACCAGTGGTAATACTGGCATTGGATTGGCTTTCATTGGAGCAGCCAGGGGTTATAAAATTATCGTTACAATGCGAGCATCTTTGAGCCTTGAGAGGAGAATTGTTCTTCGAGCTTTTGGAGCTGAGGTATACCTCACTAACCCTGCCAAGGGCATTAAGGGAATTTTAGACAAGGCTGAGGAGATACTAAATAAAACAACTAATGGTCACATGCTTCGGCAATTTGAAAATGCTTCCAATCCACAGGTATTATCTTTACTGTTAACTTTTCTATATTTCATAATCCAGTTGATGTTTAAAATTAACCAATGAATTCTTTGTTTAGATTCATTATGAAACTACAGGTCCCGAGATATGGAAGGACTCGGGTGAGAAGTTGATGTGCTGGTTGCAGGCATAGGAACAGGCGGTACATTAACAGGTGCAGGCAAATTCCTCAAAGAGAAAAACTCAGAAATCAAGGTTTCCTCCTTTTTTTTTCAATAGAAGAGATGATGCCCACGTTTTGGATTGAAAGTCATGCAGAAATGTTCTAGTTGTTATGTTAATGAGAGCATTTTCTTCTTGTGTTGACATATAGGTATATGGCATAGAACCAGTTGAAAGTGCGGTCCTGAATGGTGGAAAACCTGGTAAGTTTCAAGTTTTTTCACCCTTCATTCTTCCTTTCTTTTTACTGACATTGTCAAATTCTTCTAATATTATTGGATTCAATGTTGTTTCGAAACTTTGAAGCTGTAAAACATTTTGTTTTACCTACCCAATATGGAATTATGTTGTTGAACACAATTTCATAACCTTCATGATTTGAGCAACATCCAGTACTTAACTATTTCCTTTATGACATTGCCTGCCATGTCAGAGGCCCTCATCCGATCCAAGGAATTGGTGCTGGTATCATCCCTGATGTTTTGGATGTTGGCATCCTTGATGAAGTTATTCAGGTAAGTCCCAATAGCATCCTTGATGATGCTATTTGTTTTCCTGATAAGAACTGATTCTCTCCCATTATTTGCTTTCATTTTCCATGGCAAGTATCAACCATCTGATCCTTGGCTTATGCAATATGATGCATGGTAGTTTTCTATTCCTTTTATTGATGCTTCTGTGATAACCTTTTAGGTATCTGGTGAAGAAGCCATTGAAACTGCTAAACTGCTAGCCTTGAAAGAAGGTTTGCTGGTATGTTCAGAACAATTAATGGATTCTCATGAGATATGACCTTCTACAACACTTGTATTTTTCTTCTTTTCCTTTGGTTGTTACATAAGTTAAATTTATATATGTCTTGACAGGTAGGTATATCATCTGGTGCTGCAGCAGCGGCTGCGATTAAGTTGGCAAAGAGGCCAGAAAATACCGGCAAACTAATAGTTGTGAATCGCATTCCCTTCTTCAAATTGATATATCCTATAATGATTCTAGATAAAAGTTGATTAACTCTGAAAAATTATTTTACAAGGTGGCTCAAATGACAGTTTCTGCAGTTCTTGATTTGTCTTGTCGCATTTATGTTGTCAAAATCTATGCTAGTTGTTGGTTGAATCTTAGATTATTGAATCTGTCCATTCAAGTAAAGGAGGTTCTTTGAGATTCCCATTACAGAAAAAAGTTCTTCACAACAATCCAGCTTTTCTAGAGACTTGTTTCTGGCACAAGCTAATACAGAACCCTATTGGCATCCCATTGTCACTTGAAAAGTTCTTCATAGTTTGGCTTATACCAATCATTCAAATTAAAGGTTGCAATTGATCTGCAAAAGGGTGATCAGTGCAAAATCTTCTGGTATTTGAATTGCAGGGTGAAAAATGGTTACATGATTAAGGAGATTAAGGAGAGACTTCACCACATCTCAAGCATAGAACTTGACTTAAAACCTGATAGCTTATTCATGATGCATGAGAGGGCAGGCCCTAGTTAGGTTCAGACTTGAGACCCCAAAAGGTAGATCCATCAATTTCTGTATCGATGTTTGTCTATTTCATGTCAAACGCAAAAATTATTTTGTTACAATTCGTATCAACATACCTAATACTAAACACATTTTTTTGTTATTTATATATGATTTTTACTAAAATTTTAAATGGTATCATTTTCATGTTTTTTTTTTTGGTCATTTTTGTATGGTGTAATTGTGTACCATTTAAAATGATGAGCTATGTCAAAAGGATAAAGTCATGTCCTTATGTTTTCCATTTCCAGCCTTAGCCTGAATTTTTGCTTTGCTTAACTGGTTTTGCATCACTGGTAGAACAAGTAAAAAGTCTCGCACAGCTGAAATCTCCTGTTTGTTAATTTTCCTAATTCTTGAGCTTTTTTTCCCCTTACGCAGGCTATTTTCCCCAGCGCCGGTGAGCGTTACCTGTCTTCTCCATTGTTCGACTCCTTAAGGCATGAAGCAGAAAGCATGACCTTCGATTGATGCACTATCGAGTTCAGAAAAGTGCTCTTTCCTGACTCAGCAAATCATTGTATTTTGCATTCCACCATGAACCAAGCCTGGCTTCATTTGTTTTTCAATCTAGCTAGTGTATCAGACTGCAAAAATCTCAAACTTCCATGGCTGCAAGAGAGCTTAATAAATAGAAAAATCCTTCTACCTGAAATTGGTTTAAGGATTTTCTAGCAAATTTTCTTTCCAGTAAACCAAACATGTCTAATGGAATATATATGTCTTCTTCCAAAACAACATTTATTTTCATTTTATTTTTTAATTCACATAAGGCAACATGCCAAGAACAAGAAAACAAAAATATTAAAAAAAAATTCAATGTTTATTGCAAGACTATGCTTTAATATTGGACAAAAATGTAGAAAAAAAAAAAGAGAATATGGAGTGAGATATGAAAAATATGAATAAATGAGAGTTGTTATTAGTTTTTTGTAGTAAGTTTTTTTATATGAGAGATAATGAAGGAAGGTATTATAATTATTTATCAAATATACATATAAATGTTTTTTGCTATCAAAATTTTTTTAAATAAAAGATTAACACAATTTTAAAAGTAAAGATACTTAAAAAATTTTAAACATATGAAAATAATAAAATATAAAGACGATACGATTTACAATTAAAAATATATATAATTATCAAAAATAAAAAATATAATTCATGTTTAATATATCAATAAAAATTATAACATAATAATTTATATATTTTACATATCCTATATAAAAAAAATATAAGCAAGCGGGCTTGACCAATTGAAATATAACTCAACCCGAATCATTAATATAATATACGATATAACTTGGTTTTTTTTAAAACCCGAGCCCATTTTCTTCAACCTTTATTCATGAGCCGAATCATTTTATTCTCAAACCCAAACACACTTCCTCGTTCATATAAAACCGTAGGGTTTTAGCTTTCAGGCCGACAGATTAGAGATACAAAGCCACAAAGGCAAACGGAGACGGAGAAAAAAAGATAACAAATCAATGGAAGCGAAAAAACTAACAGCGGAATCAACTCCCATATTCCAAGAAGGAATAGGCCTAATTCTCTCTCGATGGTCGGCTCTCACCGCCGCAGTCGAAAACCAGTGGGGCGGCCGTGAATCCCGCGTCAAAGCCAACACGCTCTGCTCCGACGTCTTCTCCTTCTTCACTGAATCCAAAGGTAACCTCTTTTTATATCTAAAAATCAGTCATTTTTTTTCTGTTTTCGCAATTTCAGTAATTAAATTTGTTTTTTTTTTCTTTTAAATTTCAGCTGAGCCGCTTTATATAGATGATTTGGAGAATATTTTAGAGGAAGGTTTGCTCAGTCTTAATACATTGGTTGAAGATGGTAGCATTGAGGAGGTATTTTCAATCTTCGATTTTGTTCTTGGCTTCAATTGATGATATTAACGTCTTTTCAATCTTTTTAGGCTGGTTAATTGTGATAAATCTCGTAAAAATGATCAGAATTATGCCTTAATCATTATTTTAATCGAATTGATTCGTTGTAATTTTGTTCTTCACATGTTGTTGTAACTCTAGCTCACTGTGAATTTCTATTTATTTTTGATTCAATGTAATGTATGAAAATGCTCCTTTTTATGTTTTTTGTATGTAATTTTACGAGCTGAATTACGATAAGGGGGATTTTTAACATATGAAGAGGCGGACTGACATTTTAGGATCAAATTCTGTGTTCAAATTAAGTTTAACATCATTTTGAACCATTCTTTGTGGCATTTTCATAGCTATCTGTACTTGCTTTTATACACATCATGCAATTTTTAATTGTTATTTACCCTACATAACCGTGTCCAACGCTTCTTTGGCACTTTTAATTAAGGCAAAAAGGTCAAAAAAGCCTGTGAACTAAAATTCAATAATCATTCAAACCCTCATTTTTCTTTTTGCAATCAATTAGACCGTCAAACATCTTTTTTCATCAATTGAGCCTTTGTTAGAGGAAAAATGGTTAATTGTTTCCATCCAATCGAGGGCTTAATTGAGTGAAAATAGATGTATAAGGGTTCATTTGGGTGAAATAGATGTTCAAGGGTTTAATTGATTCGAAATAGAAGGTGTAGGGCTTAATTGATTGCAACAAAATATCCAGGGCTTAATTGATTATTAAATTTTTATTTGAGAGCTCTTTTAACCCTTATGCCTTTAATTAATGTAGAAAATTGCCAAAAAACATGACATATACCTTTGTCCAACACTAGATCCCGAGTTCATGTAACATGGTAATTAGTATTGGAATTCTTTTAAAAGGTTTGAATTTATACCGTTTATTGCTTCTTGAGAGAGATTCAATTTCTTCGACTTGTTACAGGTGGCAGAGAAGTTAATGATTATGCACGAAGAATGTTTGGAAGGTAATTATCAGTCAATTGAGAAACTGAGGACAACTAATCCTCCGACAGTTGCTCATGTCAGACCGGTAATTTCTAGTTTAAACCCTTTTTGCCTATTAATACGTTTCTTGTCGAAGATAATATACTATATACTACTGTCTCTGTTGAACTTTGCTTCTGTTTATCCCTGTTTTCTTGGGTTTTTGTTTTGCCATGCTCAGTATAGCTATGTTGGCATGTTAGGAAAGTCGCATTTTACTATTCATATGAAAAAAATCCTCAGGCTGTGTAGGAACTCTTATAGGGTGTGAGATACCAATTATCGTGTGAGCCTTTATGTAAGGAGATTGCAATCTTTCACTATCAATTTTATTTGTGAGCTCTGGTTATTTTATTGCTTTGTCCTATACTAGGATTTTACTTCATAGAAAATATTTTTTTGGGTTTCTTTCAACTCTGCATCTGCCAGTCCCTGACCGTTAATGGTTTAACACACACAAAAAGAAGGCAGAGTACTCCTTAATAGTTAAACTTGTTGCAGATGTGAATAGAAACCTTAGCTTTTCTTTCTTACAATGGATTGTATAATCCGAAATGGAATGGTTTAGGCTTTATACTGCTGGACTGTTCTTTGTTTTCAATAGAATGACATCTCATAAAATAGTGACTCCATTTGCATGGTGGATACCTTGCTAACTAATTAAATTTTACTTAGTTATTGTAGTAGATGAAGAGTTAGGGGTTAAAATGGTATCCTTTGTGTTAATATTTTTTCTTTTTCTTATTGATCGATATTTTATCCTAGTTTACTGAGGAAGATGAGGATGATGATGAAAGCATGGATGCTGACAATGCAACAAACATGATGGTGGATGTACCAAACCCTCAATCAAGTTTGAATCCAGTCAGTATGCCAACGGATGAGCCAAAGCCAAACCAGGCAGCCGAAGCAGAAGATGGTTGGGTAGTAGTCTCATCCAGAAGAAACAAGGGTAGAAGGAATTAGGCTGTATTTTCTATTACCCTTGTTTCCCATTCCTTAGTGGTATATAAGTTTCTCAACACATTTCTGACGTGCTAATTATTATTGTTTGTTTTTCTTTGTAATGTTACATCCAAAGAAGTTACTGATTTCTTATTCTCGGATATGAATTTTTCTTGGTCCAAAGAAAGGTCATCGATTGGGTTTGAATCTTATACTGAATGTATCTTTTACAGATGATTATATGTATTAATTGAAATAAATCTCGAGTTTAAATAGATATGATTTTAGATTGGATTTTATTCATTCCAATCTTAGAAACTTAGTTTCAACCTACATAACCCCATTTATGTCTTTACATGTTTGCTGCATTTGATTAAAGGTCATTAAGTGAAATTTAGTATAAATTTGGGACATTGATGACTCCATCGATTTAACTTACTGTATTACTTAAACTGGTCTTTGAAACCCCACACTATTGTCTAAAAGAGAGCGGGACCCAAACACGGCCTTAGAAAATCTAGGCGGTCCACAAGTGGTGTGGACCCTAACCTCCACGTGAGCAAAGCCTAAGGTCAGCAGCCCAGCATGCCCTATTCCCATTGGTTGTTTCAGTTTCACATGCACATCGTCGTCAACCGAAAGCGCGTGTAAAGATTATGAATGGCAGTTTCGTGGATATTTCTCAAATTGAAGCCGTATTAATTCCCCGCCAAGACTTGTACTTTGAACCTTTCTAACATTTTCCCTTGACCTTTCCAAAAGAAAACCAAGAAAGGAAAAGAAAAGAAAGTGAGAGAAACTGCGAGAAAGCGAGGGAAACTGAGAAAAAGCGAACAAGATGGGAACAAAAAGGAAAAAAATGAAGCAAATTTTTAAGAAGCTACACATCGGGGGCAATCACGAATCGACGAACGACACGTCGCCGTCATGCGCCACCGATCAGCAAACCACAATGTCCGAGAACTCTCCGCCGAGTCCTTCTACAACCACGACGTCATCATCACCGGTGACCACGACGACCGTGCCGGTATCGTCGAGTATGGAGTTGAGTACGCCATCATCGACAGCGGCCGCTAATAATCGAGCGTCGGATTATATGTTATCGGAGGAAGACTTTCAGGTACAGTTAGCCCTAGCGATCAGTGCTTCTAATTCGGAGGATCCGCAGAAGGATCGGATCCAAGCGGCGACACTTTTGAGCTTAGGGAGTCATATCCGGAAAGATTTAGGGTTAGGGAGGGATAAGGGTGACGTGGCAGCCGAGGTTTTGGCCAGGCAGTATTGGGTAAGTGTTTTCTTTTTTTTTTTTTGTTTTGGTTGTTATAATTTTTGTAGTTTGAATTGGACTGTTGGTGAATTGAATCGGATTGAGTGAGCTTGAATTATGAGTGTTTTAGTTGGTTCTAGTGATTAATATTCGGACTGTTTGATTAGGGCAAGTTATTGTACTGAATTTTAGTGGAGAAGTTTGAATTTATTATGCTTTTACTTTAATAATGAGTGTTAATCATGAATTGTTGTTATTTTATCTCTTTTTTATCTCCTCTTTTTTATCAATTTGGGTTTTTTTCTTTTCTTTTTTTTGGTTAGTGTTTGGATTGTAATGATTAGGGCAAGTTACTGTTCAATGAGGTAAAAATGATATATTGGATTATTTTGGACTTTTGCTTCTTGCAAAATTGTGGTGGATAAGCTGCAAATAGCATCTACTGCTTGGGTTTTGAAAGTTTCTTGGAATTTTGATGAATCTAATTAAAGTGAGTGAACTTGAATTAGGGTGTTTAGTTGCTGCCAGTGATTGGTTTTTGGATTGATTGATTAGGACAAGTTATGATTTGAATTTAATTTTGGATTATATAAGGTGAATTTTAGTGTGAAAAGCTTGAACAATTTTTTTTTTTTACTAGAATTGTGATAGTTTATACTTTATAATTTTCATGTCTGCTTTTGATCAAAATTTGAACTTGCTTGATTTACTAACGAAGAATGAAAAGCTGGAAATTGAACCATGGTGTATTACTGTAAGGGAATGAGCTTGAGTTTTTATGGTTAGTGTTTGATTTTGCTTGGTTTGGATTGACTTTTTGGGTTGTTTTGATTCACCAGGAATACAATGTGCTTGATTATGAGGAGAGAGTGGTGGATGGTTTTTATGATGTATATGGGCTCTCCACAGATTCAGGAATCCAAGGAAAAATGCCATCTCTTGCTGATCTTGAAACAAATCTTGAGAATTCTGGCTTTGAAGTTGTAATTGTCAATCGAACGATTGACCCTGCCCTAGAAGAGTTGTTGCAAATTGCTCACTGTATTGCATTAGATTGCCCTGCTACCAATGTTAGTGTTTTAGTTCAAAGGCTTGCCGAACTTGTAACAGGACATATGGGTGGATCTGTGAAAGATGCTAACATAATATTGGCCAAATGGATGGAAAAAAGCACAGAGCTCAGAACATCTCTTCATACAAGTGTGTTGCCTATTGGATCCATAAATATAGGCCTCTCTCGGCATCGTGCTTTACTCTTCAAGGTTAGTTTTTTAACTTAGACAGTTGCTATCTTTTAATTGAGTTCAAAACTGTCATATGCTATTCTGCTGACATATGGTTGTTTTTCTGAGCAATTTTTAAGGGATAATCCTTTGAATTTTTTTAGGGGCTGGAATTAGAAGCCCTTCTCTGCAGGATTGCCACCACCCTCTAAAGGGGATGGGCAAACCAACGGGGCTATGCGCTATGCCCCAGGTTCTAATATTTAAATATTAAGTTCTGGAAACAGAAATTGCTTGTCTCTAAGCTTTTTTCTGATTTTATCCTACTGGATGATTTAACTTGGTTCTTTTAGTGTCCTCTTAATGTAAATAGGGCTATCTGTAAGGTTTTTATTTATTTTCTTTGTGTCCTCTTAATGTAGGCGTTGTCAGATAGCATAAGGTTACCTTGTAGACTGGTAAAAGGCAGTCATTACACTGGTGTTGAGGATGATGCTGTAAATATAATAAAGCTGGAAGATGAAAGGTTATAGTTTGTGTTTATTTCTTAACTTAATCTTTACATCTATTTAGGTCTAATCTTGTGTTTTTTAACGTACAGGGAGTTTTTGGTTGATTTAATGGCAGCTCCTGGTACACTTATACCTGCTGACATTTTAAGCGCAAAAGATACAACTTTTAAGCCATACAATCCAATAATTAGCAATCTTCAGTCGTCTGATGATGTTTACTCAAGAGCAAAGCCACTTAACGGAGAAGGTAGTAGTCAGCATCCTGTGATCAATAATCTGCCCTTCAATTGGAGGTCAAGTTCTGGAAGCGCAGAATCATCTTCATTATCAGGTCCGAGTGGTTATATCTATGTTGGTTCTTCTGGATTATCTAACAGAGTGACCCCTAATCAGATGGACCATCTTCCCTCTACTGCCATTGGGGCTTCAGCCTATAAGGGGAGTCGTGGTGGCAATGTAGTTGGTGATGGCCTGAGGATGAACGTCAATGTAGTGCCGTATGGTCAGAGCAGTCAAGATGACCCAAAAAATCTTTTTGCAGATATTAATCCATTCCAGATACAAGGTACAGGCAAAACTTCCCAGCAGAACAAACCTTCTGAGACCAAAGTTGATGAGTTTCAGAGACAGAGAAATAATGTAGTTGGGGGGCAACCCCCGGTACCGTTAATGTGGAAGAATCGGCCTGCTTATAATGAGGTTCCTCAGAAAAAGGATTACAATTATATGGAGGGCCTCCTTCCAAAAACCAATCGTGAACCTAATGATTTTAATCAGTCATCATCAGCTTCCACCAGCTCTACCAAACCTGAAAAGGTCTATCCTCATGGTTTTAAGTCACATGGTGACTTTGATATATTAAGTAGAGATAATAAAATCAGGAATTCTTTGTCTGGTACTAGCACATCTTTCGCATCCACTACCAGTCAGTTCAATAGCTCACAGCTGGATGAGGATGCAAGCACTAAATTTAAGGAAGAAAATCTCAGGAATGGACATGATTTACAAAATAACACGGGGGATTTGGCTAAAGAGCAAGATAATGAGATTGGTTTCCACAATCGTAGAAAGTATGCTCATGATAGATATATGGGGAATAAGCTCAAATTAAAGGATCCAGAAAGTCCTAGCTCAACAGTTGATTGTGGCACAGGCAGGGTTGATCAACTATTTGATGATGTAGATGTAGGTGAATGTGAAATTCCTTGGGAAGACTTGGACATTGGTGAAAGAATTGGACTAGGTAATGAATATGGCTCATTGAAGTTCATTACATGTGGCAATTTTTGTAGTTAATTTAAGGTCTTTTTCTGTCTATAAACTAAATGTTGACTCAGTTAGCCATACTTGTATATTGTGTCTGTTATTTTGGAATTTCCCCCTTTGTTGATATTCAAGAGCTCCTGTTATTCCTCATTAAAATCTTAAGAGTTTAAATGCAGTAAAGTATTCTGATTCTTGCTTTGCAAGAACTTTTATCTTGTTTTTTGGAAGTTTTCTAATTCTTATTGAATTTTGTTTTCTTGTGAGTAGGTTCCTATGGAGAGGTCTACCATGCTGATTGGAATGGCACGGTTAGTTTATACTCTTTTTATACTTCAGTCTATTACAGTTTTCACAGTTTTTATCTTGTATGTCACTCTGTGCTGTCTTTGTTTAGTACTAAAGGAGTTAGGTTTCAAGCTAGCTAGATAATTATTTGGCAAAGGCATCATGGTGAGGACTATTGGCCGTGTTTTGAACTGAATTATAGATGTACTTTTTTGAAATGATATTTTGCACAAACTATTAAGAATTGTTTTCTAAATTAAAAGAATAAGCAGTTTATAATTTTGTGGGTGGTAATGGTTATTGAATTACAGGAGGTTGCTGTGAAGAAGTTCCTAGACCAGGATTTTTTAGGTGCTGCTTTGGCTGAGTTCAAAAGAGAGGTAAGCAACTTTTAAGCTTTTATTTGTATATCAAAATGATAATAAAATGTGTTTTCAGATATTTTAGTTTATTCATTCTTTTATTGTTATAACTGGCCATATACAAACTTCAGACAAACATCCTTGCCTAAGATCATGGCAGTTAAATAAGTCCAAATCACTCCTGATTTTTGTTTTTCTCTATAATTTAAGGTGCGAATAATGCAAACACTGCGTCATCCAAATGTTGTTCTTTTTATGGGTGCTGTGACTCGCCCTCCTAACCTCTCTATCATTACCGAGTTTCTTCCGAGGTAATAGTCTCTGCCTGCATATTGTCATCTTATCTTCTTATTGAGTTGAGCTTTATGCAAAGTAATCCAGATGCAATATGAGGTTGGCAGTCTATGACTACCAGCATTCATGTATTCATGTGTCACACATGGAGATAATATTTGATGTTCTAAATTGTGCAAATGTTATTTGGTTTTCCAGAGGAAGCTTGTATAAGATTCTTCATCGTCCTCATTCTCAAATTGATGAGAAGCTTAGAATTAAGATGGCTCTTGATGTGGTATGAAATTGATTGCTTCTGCAATTCTATTGTTTGGGATGTGATGACCACATAAAATTTCAAATCTGTTTCCATTTTGCAGGCGAAGGGCATGAATTGCCTACACACCAGCGCACCTACCATTGTTCATCGTGATTTGAAGTCTCCTAATCTTTTAGTTGATAAAAACTGGACTGTGAAGGTAAATGTTGTTTCTATGTTTTAGTTTTTTATGCTTCCAAATGTTTCTTACTTTTACTCTTTTAAGTGTTACTCCCCAAACATTCTCAATCTTGCTGTAATCATTGCAAAATCTGGTGACATTTGATCTTACTGATCTAGTGGAGGTGGCTTGATTAGTGAGCTATAATGACTACTTCCTATTCTCTCTTTCTGGTAGTCTAATGCCTATGTATGAATAGCAGTTATCTCAGTTTGTGGATTTGTTAATTTGTTTCTTATTGCTGCAAACTTTAATTTTGGCAGCTTATTTTTATTGTCCACTTGTTTTTACTTTTCTATCTTGTGAATCACTGTTTTGTATATTATTAGTTTCAGAATGGAAAACTAATAGAAAGTTTTTAATATATAAAAAACATCAAATACATGGTGCGTAAGTGGTAAGTTATTACAAGTCTGTATTATTGTAGTCTTTTTGTGCCTGCTTCTCTAAACTTTCTAGAACTAAAGGTTTGCAACCTACCATATGTGTCCATGCCTATATCCTTTTTGATTTATGCATCACTTAGGCGACTTATAAGTTGTGAGATAGTTTAATATGAATTGTCTAACCTTGTTGGAGAATGGTTACACTGATTGACATATCTGATCTGACATTCTTACACTTATGCTCATAATCTTATCCCATATAGAATTAAATAATTTCACTGGCTTTAAACTCCACAAGAATAAAACCTTAAAGAATTAAAAAAGGAACAAGGGCACGGATCCTTTGGAACTACCTTTTTGTTGTTTTCCCAGCTAGCTGAGGTTATTAATGCATTAAATGTGTAACTATGCGTGATGTAATTGCTTGGAAATTGAAAACTAAACATTTTCATTTTAAGGAAAAGAATAAGAGATGAAGTATGACTGCTGTGAAATTCATGCAGTGCACTCTGATTGATTGCAAAACTGAACTATGCAGGTCTCTGATTTTGGGTTGTCACGCTTGAAGCATAATACCTTTCTATCATCCAAATCAACTGGAGGAACAGTCAGTATCTTGGCCTACTGTGCAATATGTTATAAATTCTGAAGATATAGATAGAATATATAGCTTCTGTTATATTTATATTCTTTCTACATGTCTCTGATTGAGTTGCCTTTTATGTTTTAGCCTGAGTGGATGGCACCAGAAGTACTTCGCAATGAGCCTTCAAATGAGAAGTGAGTTATTTCTCTTTGATCAATATCATTTAATCCTGTTCTTTCTCCTCGGTTAGCAGATTGCTCTATCTATTAATATTTCACTCTGGTTGCTTAATGTTCTGTTTTGTTTATGAAAGCATGGTGAAGATAAGAAAATGTTAAAATTACCTGTCTTTCTAGCAGTTCGGAAGTCACCATGAAAAACTGTCAGTGTCGTGTTCTATCGTCTATATATAAATTACTTGTTTTACTATTGTACAGAAATGTTTGTTGGGGTTTTCTAACTATGACTCAGTGTTATTGATGATTGGAGTTAAGAGTGGCTGATATTTTCTGGCAGAAACTCATGGATTTTAAAGATGCTGAATTGGTAAAATAACCAAGCTTAAAACTAACTCACATATTTTGTTGGATGTATAGATGCGATGTTTATAGCTTTGGAGTCATTCTTTGGGAGCTTGCTACTCTGAGACTGCCATGGAGCGGCATGAATCCAATGCAGGTTGTGGGTGCTGTTGGTTTCCAGAATCGTCGGCTTGACATTCCCAAGGAACTTGATCCTATGGTTGCAAGGATAATTTGGGAATGCTGGCAGACGTAAGTAAACAAAAACTTGAAGCATATATTCATTTTTGCAATATTAAATCCAGTCGAACTTATTACTCCATTGTTTCCAGTGATCCAAGTTTGCGGCCATCATTCGCAAAGCTCACGGTAGCTTTAAAGCCCTTGCAAAGGCTTGTTATCCCATTGCAGCAAGACCCATCAAGCTATCTTCTCCCACAGGAGATTTCGGTAAATTCTACACTCTGAAATAAAATGTCTGAGTTCCTCAATTGTGAATGAGAACCATTCTGTTTCGTTCCTTTCAATGAGTGTCTGTGTTATATATATATATAGTATATATTCATGTTGCTGCTCCTACTGCACAAGAAAGAAATAGCAGCAGTTTTTTACAGTCTGATGTCCTAAATTTTGCCTAAAAGAATAAAACTTTTGTAATTTATATGTCAAAACTCTATAAAACACATAAAGGAGTATATGTGTCAATTTTTTTAATTTTGTAAAAATTGAAAAACCTCATTTACAGAATCATATATATAAAATATTTTCATATTATAGTATTACAATAACCATAAATCATGACAAAATTAAAGGGAGACAAATTATAACTCTCCCTTAATGTAATAATAGAATACAACAACACACCAAGTCTTATATCTCATACTTTGGGGTTAAGTGTATGAAAAACCAAAATAAGAGAATCAACTTAGGTTGTAGTATGAATTTTCTTATGCCACTCGTTTCTATAAACAACCACTTTTTCATCTAATTCCTTAATCATCATATCATTTTATTAATAGAATAATAGAATAATAAAATATTCTGTTTTTATTAATCTTCATGAATTTCACCCTGAATATACATTCAAATCCCCTTCAATTGCTCTCTCCTATACAACAATGTGACCAAATCTGTATTAGCTCCATTGCCCACATTTTGGAAGGAATTACTGTGCCTTATAGCTTGTAATCAATTTTTGCTAGACACTACCTTCTGATCAAATCCATTAGTTTGTTGAAGAAGATCATGCACCATTAGGAAGGTGTTTTGATGTTGCATCCAACAAATTAATATGAATATAAGAGATATGACCAATGATCAAATTGCATAATTCTTAATTCACACGTAATTTGAATCATACAATTCTCTATATATATTTATTAATCGATAAAAAATTAATTATGAAATTAAAAAAACCAAATCGATGAAAGAATCTAATAAAAAATTGAATGAAACTTAAACCTAGACATTATGTCTTTCTTGTTATTGAGACAAATGCTTTATAGAAAATTTTTTTTCTCATTACACGTAGTTTGATTGATATAATTCTCGATATATATTTATTAATTAATCGATAAAAAATTAGTTATGGAATTAAAAAACCCAAATCGATGAAAGAATCTAATAAAAAGTTGAAGGAAACTTAAACCTAGACATGGTGTCTTGTTATTGAGACGAATGCTTCATAGATATTTTTTTTCTCTGTACTTTAGAAAAAAAAATGAAATTGTTAGGCATATCTTGAGGATTATTTTTTACAGAGTCAGTGACAGAGGCAGCTCCTCCTGATAATGGTGTGCAATGGAAGTCACGCGTCAAATTACACCAAAACCCAGGGGGCGATGGACAATGCATTACGAAGCACTCATTCATACAAACATCATGTTCATCTGACTTTGCTACTTCTACTGTGCTTAAAAACATTAATGCACAGCACAAAAACAACTTCATCATAGAAAATTTTGCCATATCATTCCTTAATCAAAGCCCCTTTCTTTGTCCTGATGTTGAAAAGATGTTGGCAAATTTTCCTACGACAATGAAGTTTTTCAGAGAAAATTGCACAAATATTTAGTTTATAAAGGAAAAAAAGGCCATGATTCTGTTAAATTTTGTTTAAATTTAGTAATCTTTATTTATTTTTGGTAAATAATTTTAATTTGTACCCATATTTGGCAGTTTTTAATATCGGCAAAAGTACTTGTTGACAGTCAATTTGTACAATATTTGGATTATGAAAAATCTTGTTCATATTTATCAGAAGATTAATTCGGGTGCAGATTTTTTTTTTATAAATTTAGCTCATGAGAATATCTATGATATAATTAAATTATTGTCCCCCTTTATTGCCTTAGGTAGACTGGTGGAAAATGATATTTTTTGTGTTACAGGGCATATGCATCAAAATTTTAGTGTGATCCTAAATGAAAATTTTAACAAAAAGGTTCATTTAGCAACTTTTGAGAGTAATTGGTTCAGCATTCTGGAAGTTGAAAACCCTAAATTTAAAAATCCTTTAGTTGAATTAAATATGAGAATGAGACCACTTGCTTTTGACAAAAGAAAAATAAATAGAAGTTTACAAAAATTAAACTTGTCAATTTGTGTATTTTGTTGTGTAAAATATTGATAATTTGTATATTCGTATCGTGTGATATATGAAAATAATATATTACAGTTTGTGTTTACACGAAAATATAAAATACGTTTTTTATTATTTTATTAAATTTATTTATAAATTTTATTAAAATTTTAAATCGTGTCATCTTTGTATCTATTATTCATATCGTTTTTGTATCGTATTATTATGTCGTATTTAGAATTATCAGATTTAGTAAAAATCCTACAAACAAGATTCAGCATTAAACCATTTCTCCCTAAATATCAGATGCTGTAAAATGAAAATCTAACATTTTGCTGTTGAGAAATGGTTCGAAAGTGAGATCATTCCACAACTGTAAGGCAAATCACAGGAAATCATCAGCATCCTCTAGCTTGAATGGGCGAAGAGTTATTTTTTATGAGTTAATCTTTGTGCTCTTTTAAATGACAAGAGTTAGGGTAAGTGAGTATTATAGTTTTATAGGGATCTATGCTTCTTAAAATTACCATGGTTTTTTAATTAAAAAATTATCATGATTTTAGGGTAAGTGAGTAATATATTTTAGCAAATAAAATTAACGATGAAACCCTTATGCGAAAGAGGCGTTATCTCGGAGGCTATTTAAAAAAAAAACACACACCACACGAGGACGTTATGTGAAAAACATCCAAATTATATGTCATGCAAGTGAGGTTTACCCTTAAAAATATCAACCAAATTAATGGGTAGTTTCTAAAAATAATAATTTAGAGAGGAGCTTAATGCATTTTCGTTTTTTTCACACTTTAGTTTTTTTTTTTTTTTTTTGTAAATAAAATTATTTAATTACTTTTTCTCACAAATTTTTATATATTTATTTTCAATAAATTTTATGATTTTTTGAAAATTGATTTATAAAAAACCACATAACTATCTAAAAATGAATTTTCGGATAGTCATATACCTTTCATAAAAGGTATATGACTATTCAAAAATTCATTTTTTGAAGGTGAGATAGCGAAAATTTATAAAAATATATATATAGAATAATAAATTTTATTATAAATATTTATTAATTAGTGAAATGAAAAAGTTATTATTCAAAGAATTATAAATTTTAAAATTAATAAAAAAATTAATTTTACTATTTTGACTTTAAAAAAATAATATGCAACAATGTGATCAAATTTGTATCAGCTCTATTGCCCATCTTTGCTAAATGTAATTTGGAATGAGTAATTGTGGCCTTATAGCTCTGGCAATCAATTTTTGGTAGACAAATACAACATTATTTCGCCAACTCCATTTTTTATTATTATTATAAATATCATAGAAATTCATAACAATAAAAATTATTATTGTATAAATATTACAAAAATTCATCCCTTATCTTTGCTAAATGCATTTTGGAAGGAGTAACTGTAGCTTATAGCTTTTGCAATCAATTTTTTATAGACTCTTTCATCTTATTAAATCCATGAGTTTGTTGTGGAGAAGATAAATCATTTGGAATGATAGGACTCTTTCTTTTGATCACATCCATGGGTTTGTTGTGGAGTTGCATCCAACAAATGGGAACATAAGATATATAAGTAAGGAACAATTACACGATTTTTAATTCGCATGTAATACAATCACAATCAAACAATTATTAACATATATTTTTTAAATCGATAAAAAATTATTTACAAAACCATATAAATTAATAAATTATCTAACGTAAAATCAAACAAAACATAAATTTTTGCTTTTTTTTTTTTTTTAGATTTCATATTGTTATAATTGAATTCTGATTATTGAAATTCAAAATTCAAAATATTACCAATAAATCATACAATTGGTAGCTTTAATCGATATTTTTATGACGTAAAACATAACTCTATTTATATATTATTTGCAGCATTATATTTAGAGTCGGTAATTTAATTCATTTTTAACATATTTTTGACTTGATCTGATTCAATGAAATCATTTTTTTTTTTTTAAATTCGAATTTTGAATCGGATCGGATAAGATTATGAAACAATCGAAGTCAGGTTGGATTTTGATTTTAGGTAAACTCGACCCAACCCGATATTATATAAAAATTATTTTTAATTAATTAATTAAATAAATATATTTATATAATGATATTTTTAAATATTTATATTAAAAAAATAATATTTTAAATACTTATATTTAAAAATAATAATATTTTATATTCTAAAAAAATATTTTATTAATTTCGGGTCAGATTCGGATATAAAAAAAATAAAAAAAATCGAGTAATATCGAATTCGAATTTGATAACACATAAAATCAAGTTGAATTTGAGACAAATAAAATTCACCCCGAATCTAATCTAATGTCAACTCTAATTATATACGAGGTTAATGAAAGTGATAGGTCGAATTTGTATCTAATTGAGTTCGCAATTGAGAAGACACTTGTATCTGGGTTTCATAGGGGGGTGAGTTACAATTTGCTTTCAAACAATTCATCATACAACGATCAGGGTGAGTTACAATTTGCTTTCAAACAATTCATCGTACAACGATCAAAGGACACAATATCTGACTTTGCTGCGTCAACCATGATGAATAACATTAATGCAGAGCTAAAAACCAACTTCATCAAAGACATTTTCATCATTCTTTTTTCCTGAATTAAAAACCCTTTTTTTGTCTTGATGGTGAAAAGTTATTGGAAAATTTTCCTGTACCAATGAAGTTTTTAAAGAAAAATATTGCATAAATGATTGGTTTACAAGGGAAAAAAAAATAAAGGCATGATTCTTTTGGAAGGTAGCTGAATTGTCTAAAATTATTATATGATACATATTTGGCAATTTATAGTGTCATTTGGCACATTTGGCAACTTTTGAGATATTGGTTCAGAATTCTTTGTTAAGTATTTAATTTATAATTAATTAGTAGTAAGTGTAAATGGCAAATTTAAATTTAAAATAATAATAAATTAAATATTTATTTAATATGAAATAACATCATTTTAATAAGTTATTTTAATAAGATTTTTTTTTTTTCTCTTTACCTTTAGACCAGTGGAAGCACAAGTAGCGACCTCAGCTTGGCTCACAAGATCTTATTTTTTACTTTAGTGTCGAGAAAGTTTTCCCCTTTTTTTTTAATTTTGATTTTTTATTTAAAATTTGTGAAATAATAATAATAATTTATTATTATTATTGTTATTATCTAATATAATAAATAAATAATACTATTATATAATAAATTAAATAAATAAATGAACTAACTTTATTATTATATAATAAACTAATAAATAAATAAAATTTATTAGTATATAAAAACTTTTACGGCATTATTTTATAATTAACAATACATAAAATGCATAAAATAATAAAAATAAAGAAAAATATATTTGATATATTAATATTATTTTTATTAATTTTTCTTTATTTATTAATAAAGCTATTATTTGACATAAAAATAATTTATTAATTTTATAAATGTTAAATAATTTAAACAATTTTATTAAATACACATTTTAACCTAATATCCTTAATTATCATTTCTTATCTTATTATAATTTATCTCACTATTATCACTATGTCTACATCCAACTTTATATTATCATCATTAATTTTAATATTAACAATACAATATTCATTTTTATTATTATTATAATAATTAATATTATTTCTATCGTATTTTTTAATTTTATCAAAATCAATTTTATCACGTATTTAAATAATTATGAAACAATGTCATATTGTCATTTTCATATGCTCAATTACACTAATGGTAGCTTGACTTTCATATTTCTTATTTTATCTTATATAAATATGTATAAGTCAAAGCATTTGATAAAAAAAAAACTTTAATGTAGATAGTTTATATTTTTGACATATGAATGGGTTTAAAAATCACCATGTATTCTCTAATAAATGTATTTTATTTATTTAAAATATTTTTATTACTTAAATTATAATTAGTTAGAATAAATTAATTACATTAATTACATCTTAAATATATAATATTTTTACCTTATATGTATAAATTACAATTAATTTAGTCAATAATACAGTTAAAAAAATAAACTAAATAAAAAACTAATTACGCATGAATATATTTTCATATTTTCTTATTACTTATGAAAATTAAATGAAACTTAATTAAGTAAATAAAGATATAAAAATGAGCCATTTAATAAGTTGATAATAATGATATAATTAAATTAGAAAATATTTTTAAAAAATAAATACAGTAAATTAGGCAAGAATTCAAAATTTATAAATTTGAAGGGTAAATTGCATTAATTCTATGTCTTTTATTACTTATTACATTAGATAATTAATAATAATAACTTTTTAATACATTTATGATAATATTTCTTGATAGTAATATAAATATAAATGTTATTCTAAAAAGAATATTAATATATATATATAATTGTCATTGAATTTATTAATTTTATTAATGAAAATAGTGTCTATGAAAAAATTTTGGGAGTGTCAAAAAATTTAAGGTATCCATATTAAATATGTAGATTCGCTTATGAATGTGAACAAAAATCCATAAAAGGATTTGATTCCTTAAATATGTGGTTGAAAAAATAATTCTTAATTATTAAAAATAGACTTATTTGGCTGTTAAAAGTTTTATAAAAGAAAAACATTCATGAGGTAACCATAAATTAATAGATTTAATGATTCCAAGTATAGTCCATCATCTTTTCTTAGTCAACAACGAACCTCATAGGCTTAAACTGTAAGTCATGATTTTTCAGAACGACGTCGTTCCTACTTCCCAGTTGTTTTTCTAGAACGACGCCGTTTCATTTAGTATTTTATTTTACTACACCGACCCCCTCTTCTCCTCCTAGTCCCCCCCTCTCTCTCTATCTCTCTCTGTGCCGTTCTTCTCTCTTTTCAATAGCAAAGGAGGAAAAAAAAATCAAAACAAAAAATAGAATTAAATCTAGACACACCAAAATTTGCAAGGGTTTAATTTCATCTCTCTCTTCACCGATTCGTTTCCGTCGCCGTTGGGTTTCATCTTCGACGACCGTCCGGTAAGTTCAAAGCCTTACTGTTTCTCTCCCATCGTCGACTTCGCGCGTTCTTGCCGATAATTTATAGTTTGCTTCCTTGTGTATTTATTTAGTGGACTTTGTTGTTGGATTTTATTTTTGCTGAAAAGTCGTTGAATCTATGTTTATTCTTTGGTTATTTTTAACATTAATTGTCTAGTTTGATAATTTTGGTCAATTTTTGTTTGAATTTTTCAATGAGTTCATCGATTTTTTTTTTTGGGAAATACGTGTTTAATTCAAATGGAATAAGAAATCAAATGTTAGTTTTAATATTTGCGATTATAGTAATTGTTCAAATGCCACGTCATTTGGTAGATTTTGTTTGGAGTGGAAATTTGGTCTTCATGAGTGTTTAGTTTTGATTGATTGAATCTTTTTCTGCAGAATCATGTGGAATGATTTTTATTTTTTTTAAAATGTTAATTATCATTTATGGGTAGATAATTTTGGTCTATTTTGGTACATTTCTTTTGTTTTGTTCTTTTTTTTTTTTTTAAATTGATTTTTAATTACAGAATATAAGTTATTCTAACTTAATGTATGGTGTTGGATTGGAATATTCAAGAATTTAGTGAGGAATGAAATATAGGGGTGGTAAAGGTTTTAATTTTCATTTGACTGATTATGTAGGGGTCACTGCAATGCACCGAGTGGGCAGTGCAGGGAACAATGCCAATTCTAACCGCCCACGTAAAGAAAAGAGGCTGACATATGTATTGAATGACACTGATGATTCAAAGGTGAAGTGGTTTTATGTTTTTTTAATCCTTTCATTATTTACCTCATTGTTATTTCTCTTTGAAGCGAGTAAGTTGTCTTCCTTGATATGTTTTTGGCTATCTCAAGGAATTTGCAAATTCAGATTTCATTAGGATTCTAATTTATTTATCTTTGTTTTCCACTGTAATGCCACATTTTACATTCATTGGTGTTTCTGCATCACTAGATTTATATGCCTTTTCTTATCTTTTTATGTAATCATATCGTAGCTAATATTTAAATTCTTGAAGCTTGTGTTTGTTTTTATATGTATTCTTATGTGGGGGCACTCAAATTTATAAATGATCCATAGAATAACCATTTGAGCATGAGAGCTTTTTTTGTATCCTTGTGTAGGTTTATAATACCATGCCATATTTACTTTCCATAAGATTGAGTAAGAAATGTTTATTATATATTTGTGATGTTGATAAACTTCAAATATTTTTGGAACTAGTGAGCCTACTTCTCCAAGGTAATGCTGTGCAAGTGTCATTATTGGATGCATTTTGTCCTTAAGATTTTCGTTACACTAAATTAAAATGAAAATGATGGCCTCTGTTCTCAGTTATAAATTCTTTATATTATTGACCATATCCATCATTAATTTAGGACCATGTTCACAATCAAATTGAATTATTCTGCTAATCCTTTGCTTTATATTCTCAAAAAAAAAAAAAAAAAAAAAAACTCTTGGATTGTATTTGACCCTTTTATCAGTTTCTTTTGGGTATAGGCACTAGGCACTGATTTTTCTCTACTTTGGTATGTTGTTTTGCAGCATTGTTCTGGCATAAATTGTTTGGCTATCCTAAAGTCATCTGTCTCTGATGGGTGCAACTATCTGTTCACTGGAAGCCGCGATGGCACACTTAAGAGATGGGCACTGGGTGAAGATGCTGCCACTTGCTCTGCTACATTTGAGTCACATGTTGATTGGGTACCTTCTTTTTTGCCCATGACAGTTTACTTTTGGCTATGAGCATGACTGTCATGCTTAGCTGATAAATTTTTATTGCTATAATGTGGTTGAGAGGGCGTGATAATTTAATTTATTTTCTGTTTTTGCTCCACTAGAATGTCACATCTTGATGTATTACCAAATATGAATGGATGGTTGCTTACTAACAACCCATCTCACCAAAAGGAAAATCTCGAGCAAGTATTTCACTTTGCACTTCAATTACATCAATATTCGATTTAAATGTTGAGAGATCTCTTTTATCTTCTTTTTCTTTAGTTTGTGGAATTCACCATCCATATATCTTTTTTTTTTGGACACAACTCATTTATCTTATATATATGATATATCTGTGTAACTGTGTAAGTTATGATTGAGAATAAAGCAATTTCCTTGTTGTACAGGTAAATGACACTGTAATTGCTGGTGGTAATACACTTGTTTCCTGCTCATCAGATACCACATTGAAGGTTTGCTGTTAACTAATGCACAATCTTTGGCTGTTCTTTTTTTTTTTTTGTTTTGACTAATTTCGTTAAGTATTGATATGCTCTTTCCTTGGATTTACCAGACATGGAATTGCTTGTCTGATGGAACTTGTACGAGGACTCTTCGTCAACACTCTGACTATGTTACATGTCTAGCTGCAGCTGAAAAAAATGTAATTTCTATGTAAAATTTTCTGTGGATTTTATTAGCTGCATGGATGAAAGGTTCCTGTTAGTGCAATATGGCTATTTAAGTTTCATGTTTAATTTTGGTGCATAGGTTGTGCTTCAAGGAAGGATGTTTATTATTAGTAGTTACTTTCTGATTCTTTTTTAGTGTCGTACATTTTAGACCAATGTGGTTGCCTCTGGGGGTCTTGGTGGGGAGGTTTTCGTATGGGATATTGAAGCTGCGGTTAATCCTCTCTCAAAGTCCAATGATGTCATGGAAGATGGTTGTTCCAATGGTATCAATGGTTCTGTAAATTCATTACCAATATCAAATTTGCAAACAACTAACTTGAGTAACAGCATTACTGCACACACAACTCAGTGTCATGGATATGTCCCCATTGCTGCCAAAGGCCATAAAGAGTCAGTCTATGCATTGGCAATGAGTGATAGTGGAAACCTTCTTGTCTCTGGTGGAACTGAGAAGGTAGTTTTTACTTCTTACTAAATTCAAGTTTTCTGATAATAACATGTCTCTCTCCCCCTATGCTATCTTGCAAGGAGTGGTCTTATCTTTACCTCTGTTGGTCACATAGTATCATTTTGGTCTTTTGATTTAACAATTTCAGTAGCAATCTTAATTTCATGCGCCACTTTCATATAGGTTGTGCGAGTTTGGGACCCAAGAACTGGTACGAAGACTATGAAGTTAAGAGGGCATACAGATAACATTAGAGCTCTGCTTCTGGATTCTACTGGCAGGTTGTTACAATGAATCCAGCCCTGTAGTCCTTAGTTCTAAGTTAAAATAGTATTAGCTTGATGTTACTTGGACGCTACAATTATGGAGCTTTAGTATTCACTATAAGATACATAATTTTCATCTGATTCTTTTATCTTGTAACTGCTGAACTCTTTAGCAGTAGGATAAACTTGTTGGTTGATTTGAAAATTTTGGAAATTTTAGAAAAGAGAATTTTGATATGTTACCAATGGTCCTATGATGCTAAATATTTTGAGAACAAAAGGAGTGGTTGAAGTGTTGAGACTAAACCTTGATATGGCTTTATGTAGAAGTGCATGTCCACATTTGTTTTATAACTGCAACATTGTTTTCAAGTGAAATTGGGATGAATACTTTTTCTTTGAACATATCAGGGAGTCTACTGTCGTCCGATGGTTTCTTCCTTGATTGACTGCTATTGAATTCTGTTATTTGATTTTATGCTTTTCCGTGGTGTATTGATTTTATTATTGAAGTGTTTGACAGACACTTTGTATTCTTTCAGATATTGTTTATCAGGGTCCTCTGATTCTATGATCAGGTACATTATTTGTGCATTGGTTTCATTTTTGTATAATCACATGCCATTTTCAAACCATAAGGAATCTAAGACCTTGCTTTTTAAGTGGTTGTAATTTTAATTTGTAGGCTATGGGACCTTGGTCAGCAACGTTGTGTGCATTCATATGCCGTGCATACAGATTCTGTTTGGGCACTTGCGAGCACCCCAACCTTTAGTCATGTTTATAGTGGTGGTAGAGATCTTTCTGTAAGTACATGTTCATTTCATACTTTTTAATGGCCTTTATTTGATGTTTAATTTAATAATGAATTTATGTGTATGGGGCGGGGGTTTGTTGCAAGGATTCAAGGTTGGTTTGAGATTGAAACCTATGCCAGATATTAGAGTAAGGAAGATGAATAAGTGATCTAGGCTTCACACGTAGAATTCCTTGAACTTTTCCCTAGGGCAAGGGTTGGCAAAAAAGTTGCTGAATTTCTTCTAAAGTTTTTGTCTAGTAATTGAAGTAGATCATCCTCAGTTTATGGAGTTCTAGTAATAATGTTCATACAAGGACATGGAATCCAAATAGGAAACTTGCAAAATTGACTTCATACAATTACAACTCCTAAACAATGAATAAAAACCTAATAACATAAGACAAACTCAAGTAAATATGATTCATAGCTCCAAATTCTTCAATTTCCTGTAAATTTTTTGAAACTACCAGAAATGTTTGAATTTTAAAATGAAGCAAACAGAAAATGAAATAAAACCCTGCAACTTTAACTCAATGAAACTTAATGTTAAGACTTGATAATGTCTATTCTAGCTTAAATAAGTTTCTGAACAATTCTGACATCAAATAAGGGCCATACTCTTAAATTTTCTAAGTATGTAAGCTAACCAATAGTTGACATCCTTGTCTGTTAGTTCTAAATATTTTGCTTTAACTCTCAACTTGTGCTTACTTTTGTACATACATCAGTTATATTTGACAGACTTGACAACAAGAGAGAGTCTTTTGCTTTGCACAAAGGAACACCCAATTTTGCAGTTGGCATTGCATGATGATAGCATATGGGTTGCAACGACTGATTCTTCAGTTCATAGTTGGCCTGCTGAAGGAAAAAATCCTCAGAAGGTCTTTCAAAGAGGTGGTTCGTTCTTGGCTGGAAACTTGTCTTTTTCAAGGGCAAGAGTTTCCTTAGAAGGGTCTACCCCAGTAAGTATGTTGTGTGTGTGTGTGTTTTGGCTTACAGCACATCACCTTTTTTATCACGAGAATTTTTGTCTCATAAATCCTTCTTTTCTCTTTTTTATTAATTTGTTTCTAGTATTTCTAAAGAAATATACTCTGCAGTGTGGGAGCACTTCTTTTCTCTATATACTTGAATTTTAGTAAATCTGATGCTGCTCATTGAATTATTAATGGTTCTGTTTTATTTGTTCCTTGCTCACCCAACCCTGAGAAAAAAGAACAAATATTAGATTTTCATTTTATTATCATGATATGCTTTGTTGTGGATATCTCTTTGAACTTTGGCTGTGTGTGGAATTTATTTTAACATTTATCTTCTATCCCTTTCCATTCATTGATGTGCTGACATTGTCAATTATACACAGGCTCCTGTTTATAAAGATCCTATCTTTACCATTCCTGGAACTCCAGCAATAGTTCAGCATGAAATTTTAAATAACAGAAGGCATGTATTGACAAAGGTAAATGTGGTAGTACTTCTATTTGTTGGGTTTTCGTTCCAAAGATTTTGTTTTGGGAAATTGTTTTTCCTTAAATGATATTAATGCTTCTTTAACAGGATACTGCTGGTTCAGTAAAGCTATGGGAGATAACCAGGGCTATTGTGATCAAGGACTATGGACAGGTGAACTAGATTCTTTTCCTGCTTTCTATCTTTCCTTTTTTCTTGAGTAGAAGTGGCTTGCACTTTGCTTTTTTTCACTTACAGGTTTGGCGCACCCAGACATACTTGTACATGCTCGGTTGTGTTTTTAGTTGTATGCATTTATCCATTTCTTTGACTTCAATGTCCAGGTTTCATTTGACGAGAAAAAGGAGCAGTTGTTTGAGATGGTGCGATAACTATTTATTTGAAATTATATCAGTTGAATATAATGCATCTTTTTTTATGTAATTTACTTTTGATTTTTGTTTAAAACCATTCCAGGTAAGCATTCCTGCATGGTTCACTGTGGATACCCGGCTTGGAAGCTTGTCTGTTCATTTGGACACACCCCAATGCTTTTCGGTAGAGATGTATTCTGCAGATCTGAGCATAACTGGCAAGCCTGAGGATGATAAGGTATTAGATTTTCCCATTGATTATGGCGATCTTCTTTTTTCTCCCATTGATTGTGGCAATCTTAAGACAGATATCTGTGAAAAATCTCTGTGATTGTTATTTGCATCTGGTGTTGACTTGTCTTTGGCAGGTTAATCTAGCTCGTGAATCCCTCAAAGGTCTGTTGGTTCATTGGCTGACCAAAAGAAGGCAAAGACTTGGTTCCCAGGCTTTAGTTAATGGAGATGTTTTATCAGGAAAAGATGTGACTGCAAGAAGTCATTCAAGAATTGAGGTAGACGGAAATGCTGAAAATGATTCCATTGTCTATCCCCCTTTTGAGTTTTCTACAATTTCCCCTCCCTCAATTATCACTGAGGGTTCCCAAGGAGGTCCTTGGAGAAAGAAAATTACTGAATTGGATGGAACTGAGGATGAGAAGGACTTCCCTTGGTGGGTTTTGGATTGTGTATTGAATAATCGGCTCCCACCACGGGAGAACACCAAGTAACTTCTATGACCTCATTAAACTTTCCTTTGCTTAATTAAATCTTAAGGTTTGCGAGGAAATTTGCATACATTGAGCTGCTTATTGGTTGACCTCTTTGTCAATATGCTTGCTACACTGGGAGGAAGTTAAAGAAGTGTCATGAAGTCCAGTAGTTTGCTGTGTTTTGGTTTTGTTGTGCCTTTAGTCCTTATTCTTTGATTTTTTTCTCGTGGATATCTGCATTTCTCTTTATTTAGAAAAAAAATGTACTTCCTTTACATTGTTGCACTACGTTCAGAACCATGGATAATTATTTGTTTTACTTATCTGGTGTTAAGTACGGTGCCCTTTCATCCTTCCTCCCTCAGTCTCTCTTGATAAAGTTTACTTTTCATTTTTTCAGGTGCAGCTTCTATCTTCATCCATGTGAAGGTTCAGCTGTTCTGATCCTCACACAAGCGAAGTTAAGTGCACCTCGGATATTGAAAATACATAAGGTATGCCTGTTTAGTTTTCTTAGTTCTTGTAAAAGGCAATTTCCTTTGCATGGCATGTGTTTGTAGAAAGTAGCAAATGTTGTTAATATACAAATTTAGATCACCTGGGTTAATACACTAGAATCTATTTCATATTTTGGAGCATGGATGGCATAAGAGCCAAAAGGGCAATGTTACGTAACTAAAAATGTTATTTTAGGTTACGTATACATTGATAGGACCTTAACTTTGTTGTAGCCAGAACTAAGGCAGAGCATTTTGTGGGTTTGGTTAATTTAGTTGTAAAAATCCGAAAACCGAACCGACCGACCAATAGGTTGAAAACTGAAATTAACCAAACCGACTTAAGTTGGTTGGGTATTGTCGGTTTTTTGTATTTTAGAAAGCAAATAAGTGTTTCAAATGGTTCAAATTCATGTTCTGTTATAATATTATTTCCCCATACAAACATGGCAATTGCTCTCAAAAGTGGATCAGAAGTGAACCCTATCTCATATATGCAATCAAATTCCCCAAAGAAAATCAAGCATTTGTTTTGCAATTTCAACTATCTCCTATCTTTCATTCCCTAAATTGTGATTTATCTCTGAATGCCTAATTTTTTATGTAAAGATTATATATCTTCAAATTTATTCGATTTGCAAGCTTTTTTTTACCCTAATGACATGATTAAAGATCATAAAACAAGGAGCTTTCAGCATCGGACTTAACAACACTGCCTAAATTTATCACTTCATCAAAACAGAAGCAATTACATTAACAAGGGGCTTTCTTCGTTCCAGCAATAGTAACCCTCTTACCCTTCAATGTTCAGTCACTGTAACGGCTCCTAAAAAGAGGAAAAGCTCAAGTGTGAGAAAGTGACAAACCTGAATATGAGTAATAGGAAGAATTTGATTGGTGGAGTCCTTTTGTGAGTTGTGACTAGGCTGCTGAGTTTCGGTTGAAACTTGAAAGGAGACGGGCAAAAGGAAAGGTTAAACAGAACTGCCTGTCAATGGGTGTGATGTGATATGGTGGCTTGGTGGGCTGGTGAGAGAGGCTTGGTAGCCTGGTGGCTGTCAACTGTGAGAGGTGAAAGGGAACTGGTGTCTGGTGGCGTCTGGTGAGTGTGTGAGGACTGAGGAGGAGATAGGTGGAGCGGCAGGCAAAAAGGGTGCGAGGTAAATGAGATGAGAGTAGTATTTTCTTAGGTTTTCACCTGGTAAAAAGATATTAATAATATTTTATTTATTTTAAACATTTAAATATTTAATTTTGGTTTTCTAAACCGGTTACGGTCTAATAACTTAACACTGTAAACCGACAGAAGATCAAATGATTAACCTACTAAACCAAAAATTCAGGTTGATTTATTTTAATTGAGTTTTTTTATTTTTTTTTCCGGTTTAAACTGATGAGTGCTCACTTCTAAACAAAACAAGATAGGAACATATTAGGATAAATAATCTTCTGAATTAGCTTTGTTGAGTGCTTAGTTACTTGAATGTTAGAGGGAGATGCCTTTTGGTTTGTTAGATTTTCTTTTCTTCTCTGGTTTTCTAATTTTGGATATGAGATACTGATAAATGGTGCACTGGAAGGTGATGTATGTAGTATTTTTCAAGACATTAAATTGATATTAATGCAGAACAGCTGGTTCTAGATTGTATTTGTATATCAATTTTTAATGGGTTTTCTGGTAATGTAATGTACATTCATTCTGTTGTGGTTATGTAGGTTGTTAATTATGTCATAGAAAAGATGGTGCTTGATAAAGCAACTGATAGTGTAAATACCGATGGGACATTTGCTCCTGGACTTGGAGGACAATTGCAGCATTCAACAGTTGGAGATGGATCTTTTCGGTCTGGATTGAAGCCTTGGCAAAAGCGTCGGCCTTCTATTGAAATTTTATGCAATAATCAGGCAAGTCAATTGCATGTTGGATGTTATAATGCCATTGGCTAGGAGCCTAATATCTCTTTGTCAAAGTTGTGTTTTTTCCTCATTTTCTGGCACCAATATTAGATTTTACTATATGGTGTTTGAAATCGACATAGTAAAATAATTTTAGACCAACTTGTTTAGTTCAAGTTCAATCATATTATGCTGGTCACTTATTTGAATTGCTACTACATGTTCCAGTTATTATCTCCAGACATGAGCTTAGCTACCGTGCGGGCTTACGTATGGAAGAAACCTGAGGACTTGGTACTAAATTATAGAGTGACCCAAGGCAGGTGATTTTAGTGACTTCTGGGAGCAGGTGAGTGGCAACTTATTCATGTTTGTTAAGTTACCTGTATTAGTTTTAACAGAATAACACATGTGATGGTAACTTCTTCGGAGAATATTTGTCATGATAAACGCAGGAAGCCTGTATTCACTTGGATTTGGTTTTTGTTTTTTGAAATAAAAAGGGGGGAGGGGGGGAGGGTGGTTAGTTGTTGAGAGAGGAAGCATGCTGGTAATTTAGTTCTTCAGCCATAATTTTGTCAATTTAACATGGAATCGTGTTTGCTTCATTTTGATCAGTGAATAAACAACAAATAGTTTTTCTTTGAGCATGTCCGGCCATTGGATATATGTAGCAAGCAATCAGCTCAATTAGTCTTTTAACTGTATCCTATCTTACCTATTGGGCTGCAGGTTGGTCTCAGTATATTGGGATGGAAATCTCATGCTTTTGTAAAGTGTTGGGAATTATTTTGTTCTTCTGAGGTTGCCTATCATGATCAGAAGTATCTGGGATCCTTGTATATTTGGACAGGCATTGGTTTTCGATCTGGGGACATTCTCCAGACTTTTTTCAAGAGGATCGTGGTTAATGTTTTCATAGTTGGCCAGGTGCTGTCATAAATTTTTGGTCTTTTGTCTAGTCAAGAGGTGCATGCTTTTGCCATACATCAGAAAAAAAACTATGGGGTGGAAGTGCAAGCAGCAGAAGAGTTAGATACTCCTGGGGACAATTAGCTGAAAGAAAAGTGGTACTTTTTGGGACAAATCATTAGAAATAAGATGTCGAAAGCTCTGTAGATGTGTATTGTGGGAGGTACAATACCTAGTCAAAGAAACTGTTGTATGAAGTTGATTTTTTCTTTATTTTTTATTCCTGGAAATAAGACAATCAATTTGTGTTTAATCAGTCGTATATTTATAGAACATTTCTCTCAATGCTTTCTTGTGTATGATTCAGTAGATTTCTGAGGTAGGAAATGAAATCTTAATGCTGCGCTAGGTTAGTTACAATAGCCGGTTAGATTTTGAATTGAATTTCATGCATATCACTGAGCAGACACTCTGGGGAGAGGATTTCATGCGGCTGATATTTTTCTTTGCAACAATTTATGCTAGATTCTTTTATTTGTTTATTTGTAATGAAATTTAAAAAAAAAAAACACACACACACACACACACACAATTTGTCATGCACTATTTTTGTTTATTTAAGGAGTTAGTTTGCTTTTTTAAGTGATTTCTTACTTTGTTGTAAAATGAAAAGTTGAAATCCTTTTTCCCAGCTATGTAGTAAGATGGGTTGGTCTCTACTTTCCTGTTGTTTATTTCTTTTGAATCTACAAGAGCCGCAGCCATACCCTGCACCTGTTTTAGCTTTGGCATTCATTAAGTTCACCTGTCCGTATTCTAGCCTTTAAAGAAAAAACCATTTAATATATCTAAGTTATTTGTTTATTTGGAGTCACAGCACTTTCTTTTCTCCTCTTTTACTCTGTATTTAGCTTTTTATGGTGGTAGTTTTGTATAAATTGTTCTTCAAATCCCTACTTTCTCTATATAATATATTAATTGTATTCTTTTTCTGCCATTATTCTACGAAAGAAACAAGTTTTCTTCAAATTCCCATTTTAAAGGTTGATTGAAGAAAGAACATAAAGATGTGAAGGGAAATGAAAGTAGAATATAATGCTTTTGGATTTTCTTGGAGGATAAGGATGAAGAAAAGCCAACTTGGCTATTGATTCCAGTTTTGGGACACTGATGATAATCTGACGACAGCTTGTTTTCGTAAGTTATCGGCATAAAAGTTATTTGCCATAATAAAAATTAAAAGTTCGTAAATTGTTAGTCACGGTTCTAACTCGAAAACCTGAGGATAAATAGATTCTCCATCTTAAAGCCATGAATCTTTTTCAAAACCTGTCCCTCAAGTAATTGATTTGTGGTTTTCCTGGAAAATATACATTTTTCTCTAAGTCTTGTAGAAGGATTCTAATCAGGTTTTGGAAAAAGTGATGCCTAATTAAAAGAACAGTTCTTACATTCTTGTCCTGCAATTAAATTTTACAAGAATTTTGTGGGACTGTAACATGGCATGTTCATTCTGTTTATGGATTGATCCTTGTTGGATTAATGCTACTGTTCTTTGCTTGATAAGAGAGGATTGAACATTCACATCAAGTTAAAGTGATTCTCTCCTTTTTTCTTTTATTCTCATAAAATGTTGGACCTTATATTCTACCGAGTGAAGGACCATATCTCATCGGAATCGTCATCGGATTGCATATTTCAAGCAGCAAATGGAAGTCATTATCCAAAAAAAAAAAATGAAAAGAACATGAGTCCCACACAAAAGATGTTGAATCTTTCGTCATTCAGTTTTAAGCTAAAGAGAACAAAATTTTTCTATATAAGGAGAGCTTCAGACATCATTGATAAGTAGGGAAAATTTCCAACCTTAAAGAGTTCGGAAATGTCTGGGCATGGTTATACATATTCGGGGGGCTACACAACCGACAATAGTACTGTACCTCCGGGAAAAGAGGAATGGAGCAAAACAAGCTACACCTCGGATGTTGGGACCCAGCAATTACATGTTACAAAAACCGAGATCGCTGAGGTACCTAATTTTGTCCCTGGATACAAACAAAGCACTCCTGCAAAAGTTGATGCTCTGATTGACTATGGTGATGGTGATCAGGGTAAGTGGAATAGTTCTTCCAATCAGGTTCGCTTTCAAGAAGATAAACAGTATGGGCCTTCAAGTCCTATGGTTGCTACAAATTCGATTCAGACACCTAATCCTCATTCATATCATGCTAATACTGGATCTGGTAATCAAAGTAAGTCGAGCAAGGAAGGGCAGAATCCGGGTGTTTATACCCTAGGAGGTGGAGGTGGAGGTGGTGGAGGTGGTTATACCCCAGTAGGTGGAGGTGGTTATACCCTAGGAGGTGGCCCCGTCACAAGAGAGAGTTGTCTGGTGCAACGTAGTTACTGCTTTCGGAAGTATCCTGGCACAAGAGTGTGAAAAGAAACTATTGGAGATTATTATTATTATTAAACTAGGCTTAAGCACTGATATAAGTGTTTCCTATGGGATCAATCAACTATGGTTAATCCACCTGTGTCTCTGTTTCATACCTGCTTTTTAGCAATTTTATATAGTTGTTTGATGTCATTATAATGAAGTTGTGTCAAGGGATGCCCTGTTATGTACTACAATAAGCTTTCCTTATAGATATTTTTTAGCTATGAATACTTCTTGTAATTTCTTTTCTTTTCATGCATCTTAAGAGATCAGAGATGAGGTTTTGGTTTGATTGTAGTACATATTGAAAGGTATATATTAATTTTACTTGATTTAAATTTGAAATTTTAAATATGATAATTAATAAATTAGTATAAAATAAAAATAATAAAAATTAAAGTCTAAAAAAATTATTAAAAAATTACAAGTGTTAAAAGCAGGTAAATTGAGATTTTCTTTTTCAAATCAAAAGTTAGTATTTTAAAAAATAAAAATACTATGTTAATTTTAATTTCAATTTTCAAGTAGAAAAAAATTATATTATATATATCACACCTCGAGATCAAGACATAGCACGGTCATATTACTTTGAAGAAAATCTCAAAGTAATACGAAACCTTCGTTTTTAAACATTCTAAAATTCTTCAATAAAACAATCTAAGTAAAATTCATATCTTTAATGCAACTGATGATACATCTTTATATGTGTAAATACAAATCATATAAAATACAAAACTATCTCTTAAGATTTCATTGGTCAACATATTCTTCAACGACTAAGTAATCTTTCCTATTTCATCTTCTAGCATCACACAAGACTAACCAAACTTATCACTTAGTCATCTATAAAGAAAAAGTAAAAAGAGAATGAACAAACCACAGCTTAGTAAGTATAGACTCACACACCTTACTAGATCAAGTATCTTTTCTTATACATCATATAAATCATTCAAAACATTCATCAAATCATAATATCAAAATATTTCAAGATCATCTTTTTGTCAAATATTTCATAAATTCATAAATCAATGTCAAAATATGTCACTTCATAAATCATTATAAAATATGCTATCATTCAAATATCATAATCAAACCAAATCATGGATCAATCATTAAAAATCATCGCAAATCATCATAATCATAAAATCATCATTATCAATGGTTTATCGTTAGCTACGGTCACTGCTATAACCTGTGATATTGGCCGTATCGACAATTTCATTCTCATGATCATTGCTAACTATTATAACCCATTAGCCAGTGCATACGCTAACTACTATTACCCGTTTGCCAGGGTCGTATGATCATGTCTTTGCTAACTACTATTACCTGTTAGTCAGGGTCGTAGAACTAGTTCTGATATTGATGATCCCATTTCTCAGGGATGTAAAAACGTAGCTATCATAAAATTATTCTTTAAACATAAACCATTTTCTCATTTCATTCATAAGCATGATTCACCGTTTATATAAAGAAACACAAAATAATCATATGCTTGATCCTATTTTCATACATTGAAAATAATGAAATAAAATATTCATTCAATTAGAAACATACATATATACATAGTTTCGAAAACAAGCAAAGTGTGTGAGATTCTACTTACTTCCATTCGATTCCACCATTTAGTTTTTCTCCAAAATAATTAATGGCCTATCCAAGATCATTTCAACATATCATAATTTAATCAACCATTTTTGAGACCATTTATACAAAAATCAACTAAGTTACACAAGGGTTAACTTAACTAATTAATACTGACAGCCTGACCTCTTTTCATTAAAACAGTCATATCTCAATATATCTAAATCGGAATTATGATCTCTTTAATGCGTTAGAAACTAGACTTGATAAGAATCATATATGGCACACCTCGTAATTTCTTGTAGATTAATTATAACAATTTTTGAAATCCTCGTCATATACTGCTGCCAAACAGACTGTATACCTTCTAATAAAAATTATATAATTATTCACAAGAAACTCCAAATTCAATTCCGCTTGTTTCATTAAAAAGTAGATTCAACATACTTTCCAATGATATATAATAATCATAGCAATAATCTATCCATTAATGCGAAATTCTATTTTAATTCATTATTACAGATCACAATATCTCATCCAAAAATAAAATTTATTTTTTAATCTTTAAAAACTCAAATCCTTACTTTCAGCATTCAAACTCTATTTAATAATCATCAATAAATCTTAAGAACATGAAATAAACAAAGCCCAGTAATTTACCTAAATAGATCATCAAGATTAATGAAGGATTTCATGATTTTTCTTGATTTTTTTCTCAAAATTTCAATTTCAAATAATAGTAATCAACTTAATATTTCTTTCAAATAAAAAGAGGATATGTACTCACCTTTAAGGGATTAATTTGATTGTAGCCTTTGATTGTGAATCTCTAACTTAATTTTTCATATTCTCTAATCCTAAGGAAGATGAGAAGAAAAAACTTTATTTCCTTTTTTGTTTTACTATAATTAGATTTTCTTTCATCTAATACTTAACCTTTTTTTTTATTAAATAATATTTTAATAAATTGATAAACTTTATTATTAGTTTAACCCAATTATTATTTGGGCTGAGTATTACAATATATATATATATATATATAAATAAATAACATCACGTACTATAAAACTCAACGAAGTTTGCTTCTTTGTATGTTAATTTCGGATCTTTTCTCATCCTCACTCCCTAGAACTGTAGACAGAGAGAAACCAAAATTTTAACATAAAGAAAAAATGAAAAAAAAAAGCTTTCTTTTATGTTTTGGAATGTAAGTGAAAAATCCAATTTTTTTCTTTTTTTACTGGTAGCATTACTTTCTTACTAAAACCCAGATTTTTTCCCATCATTTTCCCGAGAATTTTTGAAGTACTCAAGAATAAAGAAATACCCAGAAAGCTTAGATTCCTAGAAGGTCAGTTACCTTTTTCTTTCTTTTCTTTTTCATATTTAAATTTTGGTTTATACCCAGATCGATTTATGTTTAAAATTTTATTCTTTCTTTGCTTTGAATTGTTATGTTGTTTTATCTACGAATTTGGTTATTTAGATCATGTGATCAAGGTGCTTTTTTTTTTTTTTTGGTTTTCTGGCGGGTGTTATTGAAACTTTGGGTTTTGTTTGGTTGGTTAGAAAGTGTAGGAAACGGAAAGAAAATGCAAGGTCTTTGCAAGTTTGGTGGTTTTGATCATTTGAACTATAGTCAAAAGCACCTCATTTGAACTGTTTGTTAGCTGCCTAATGGAGTTTTAGGTTTCTTAATTTTGATCATGTGAGCTATAGTAAAATTTGAACAGTTTGTTAGTTGCCCAATGGAGGTTTTAAGTTTCTTATGAGTCCTATGATCTTGTTATACGGATTTTGCTGTTAGATTGGTGAATGTGGAATTTGGTCCGTTGGGTTTTTTTAGCTGTTTTGATTAATACTGGATTTATCTTTTTCTATACAGTTTGAGAGGGACACTTGAGAATTTGATGAAATCTTACATTACCTGGAAGAAAAGTGAAGATTTGATAATAGAATACTATTTTTTTTTGGTTACTAAATGTTTTAGATGAAAGGGAATTTAAATCATTGATTTTTCATTTCAATTTTAGGGTGGAAAATTTCAGTATGGTCTTCAGAGGTTATATCTTCAGAGGTCACATCAAGTTAAAGTGATTCTCTCTTTCTTTTTTCTTTTATTCTCATAAAATTTTGGACCCTATATTCTACAGAGTGAAGGACCATTTCTTATCGGAATAGTTATCGGATTGCATATTTCAGGAAGCAAATGGAAGTCATTATCCAAAAAAAAAATGAAAAGAACATAATTCCCACACAAAAGATGTTGTTGAATCTTTCGTCATTCAGTTTTAAGCTAAAGAACAAAATTTTCTATATAAGGAGAGCTTCAAACATCATTGATAAGTGAGGAAAATTTCGAAGAGTGGTTTGAAAAACGAAAGGAAATTTCCAACCTTAAGAGTTCGGAAATGTCTGGTCATGGTTATACATATTTGGGGGGCTACGTAACCGACAATAGTACTGTACCTCCAAGGAAAGAGGAATGGAGCAAAACAAGCTATACCTCGGATCTTGTGTCCCAGCAGGTATATGTTACAAAAACCGAGATCGTTGAGGTACCTAATTTTGTCCCTGGATACAAACAAAGCACTCCTGTGAAAGTTGATGTTCTGATTGACTTTGGTGATGTTGATCCGGGTAAGTGGAATAGTTCTTCCAATCATGTTTGCTCTCAAGAAGATAAACAGTATGGGCCTTCAAGTCTTACAAATTCGATTCAGAGGCCTAATCCTCTTTCATATCATGCTAAGCCTGGTTCTGGTGATCAAAGTAAGTCGAGCAAGGAAGGGCAGAATCCAAGTGGTTATACCCTAAGAGATAACTATTATGATCCCTTCAAAAGAGAGAAATATCTGGAGCCAACTATGAGCACCGGTGGTGCATGGGGTAAGCCAAGTAATGGGGCAGGGTCAGCGGGACAAGGGGCTAACCTCAGCGAACCAACAAGCGACATCAACACAGCCATCGGATACTTGAAGGAAGCTGTCAACCCTTCTTCAGGTATTACTCCTCCACCTTCCAGGTATACAGGAACGGCCTCAACAAGGCCAAAGAGAAATACCTACCCTGAAACCATTGACAGCAAGGAAGCTGAAAGGAGATATGGCAACTTCAATTTTTCATCTCGTCCAACGGACAATTATACCAGAACTATTGACAGCAGAGAGGCTGCAAGAAAATATCGTGGCACAACAGTATGAAAAGAAACTATTGGAGATTATTAACATTATCATTATTATTATTATTAAACTAGGCTTAAGCACTGATATAAGTATTTCCTATGGGATCAATCAACTGTGGTCAATCCACCTGTGTCTCTGTTTCATACCTGCTTTTGAGCAACTTTATATAGTTTGTTTGGTGTCATTATAATGAAGTCGTGTTAAGGGATGCCCATGTTATGTACTACAATAAGCTTTCCCTAATGATATTTTCTATTTAGCTAAGAATCCTTCTTGTAATTCCTTTTCTTTTCATGCATCTTAACTTCAGAGAATAAAGATGGAGTTTTGGTTTGATTGTAGTACATATTGGAAGATAGACATTAGCATTATGTGATTTTGTCCGTGGATTTGATAATTTTAAATATGATAATTAATAATTAATAAGAAATAAAAATAACAAAAAATTGAAGTTCGGAGAAAAAATTATAAAAAAAATTACCAGTGTTAAAGTATGTAAATTGAAAATTAAAAAAAAAAATCAAAAGCTAGTATTTTAAAAGTAAAAATACTATTTTAATTTTAATTTCAATTTCCAAGTAGGAAAAATTTATTTTATATATATATAACATCACGCACTATAAAATTCGTAAAGTTTGCTTTTTTGTTTGTAAATTTCGCATCTTTTTGTCATCGTCACTCTCTAAAACCTTAGACGGAGAAACCAAAATTTCAACAGAAAAAAAAAATTCTTTTATATTTTGGAATGAAGTGAAATTTCAATTTTTTTTTACTAGTAGCATTACTTTCTCACTAAAACCCAGATTTTTTTCCGATCATTTTCCCGAGATTTTTTGAAGTACTCAAGAATAAAGAAATACCGAGAAAGCTTAGATTCCCAGAAGGTCAGTTACCCTTTTCTTTCTTTTTTTTTTTTCATATTTAAATTTTGGTTTATACGCAGATTGATTTATGTTTAAAATTTTGTTTTTTTCTTTGCTTTGAATTGTTATGTTGTTTTATTTACGAATTTGGTTGTTTAGATCATGTGAACAAGGTGCTTTTTTTTTTTTTTTGGTATTCTGGCGGGTGTTATTGAAACTTTGGGTTTTGTTTGGTTGGTTAGAAAGTGTAGAAAACGGAAAGAAAATGCAGGTCTTTGCAAGTTCGGTGGTTTTGATAATTTGAACTATAGTCAAAAGCACCTTATTTGAACTGTTTGTTAGCTGCCCAATGGAGTTTTAGGTTTCTTAATTTTGATCATTTGAACTATAATAAGATTTTGAACAGTTTATTAGCTGCCAAATGGAGGTTTTAAGTTTCTTATGAGTCCTATGATCTTGTTATACGGATTTTGATGTTAGATTGATAAATGTGGAATTTGGTCCATTGGTTTTTTTTAGCTGTTTTGATTAATTCTGGATTTATCTTTTTCTATACAGTTTGAGAGGGACACTTGAGAATTTGATGAAATCTTACATTACCTGGAAGAAAAGTAAAGATTTGATAATAGAATACTAGTTTGTTTGTTTGTTTTTTTTTTTATCTTCCTTTTGTGTTTTTTGGTTACTAAATGTTTTAGATGAAAGAGAAGTTAAATCATTGATTTTTCATTTCAATTTTAGGGTTGAAAATTTCAGTATGGTCTTCAGTGGTTATATCTTCTGGCAGATATAAGTCTTATGTGTCTAGGTATGTATAAGAACCAATTGCAAGAGTTGGCTCAAAGAAGTTGCTTTAATCTGCCGTCTTATTCATGCATCCGGGAAGGACCTGATCATGCTCCTCGATTTAAAGCTACTGTCAACTTTAATGGAGAGACTTTTGAAAGCCCTATGTTATGCTTTACTTTGAGACACGCAGAACATGCTGCAGCCGAAGTAGCTCTAAATACACTTGCCAACAGAGGCCTGTCCAGAGCATTGGCTGCAAGAGTTTTGGTATGCATTCAACTGAAGTTTTATTCTTTTCCTAGTTATAGCTACCTAGATGCCAGTTTCCTACCGAAATTTGCAATCAGCAATCATTTTGTTGTCATGCTTCTTCCTAGTCTTAGGCACTGCTTTGATCATTGTCAAAGACAAAACAGTAACTTTTAGTTCCTCTTAATGGATGATATTAATGATCTGTACCAGTGTTCTTGGAGATCTAACTCTTCAATTTGATTCATCTTCAACTAAGCTTCAGTAACAGCTAACTGACCATATCTACCAAAACCTACTCTTGTTTTAAGTATTTCTCAGATTGATTTTGACTAATGAAGAACACCTTCTTTGTGTTGGCATTTTTTATCTCTATTAACAATGCTTTTTCTTTGGTAACTTGTCAACCTTAGAGATGCCAATACCATATCTTAAACTTAAATTAAGGAAGCAATGACTTAACTTGTTTTTATTGTTGAAAAATGGAATATATGTAAGGGTTTAATTTAGAAGTTGAGGTAATCATCTGGTGCATCCTTGAACTTGATGAGATTTGACAGTCCTCAGTTGGAAGATTTTAGTTGCAACCATACATTATGTGTTGGTATCTGAGGTTTAAAATACCTTGTGGTTCAAATATCTGCATGCTTGCATAGCATATTTATTGTGTTAAAGCTTTCCTTTTAAAACGATGTTTTCTGGATTTGGTTTTTGATGACTTATTCAAAATTGCTGATCTATTTATAGGAAGTTTTTGAATCCATTACATTACCAATTGTAGTTCTATATAAGTGATGGGGATGCTGGAAAAAATCTGGGTGCTTAAGTGTATTCCCCCCTCTCTTTGAGCTGGATCTGTGGCTAACTTAATTTGTGTCCTTGTATTGCTGTTCACTTGTTCAGCTTGTTCTAGGAGAATAAAATAAAATAAAATCTTGAGCTTGTGTGTACTGCACAGGATAAAACTGGTGTCTATAAAAACTTGCTTCAAGAGACTGCTCATAGAGCTGGCTTAAACCTTCCAGTCTACGCCACTGTTCGATCTGGACCAGGCCATGTTCCTATTTTTTCAGGAATGGTTGAGCTTGGAGGGATGAGCTTTATGGGGGAACCTGCTAGGACTAAGAAACAAGCGCAGAAGAATGCAGCAATGGCTGCATGGTCAGCCTTGAGAAAATGTATGATTCCTGTCTTCTTTATTAAAGGCTCTACTTCATTTAGAATCAAACAACCGCATGGAGGGGCGGGGGCTTTTGGGGTTAGACAATGAAGAAAACATAAGTATTAGTACATAATACCATGCTATTTCTTTAGATATATGTTTCTTTATATTCATTCACAACAAAAGTATTTCAATCAAAGCTTAAAAAATCATTTTATGGTTAGTTGTTAGTGGAAAACTTTCTTATTCAATTTCTATGGCTTGTAGTTTTACTTAAATCGCTTAATTCTGTAGGTGTTTTTGTGTGCATGTTTTGCGTGTACCCCAACCTAACTTAACTTTAGCATGAACATTCTAATATATCATTGTGCCTGCAGTGTCTCACCATGGCTCATCTTCGTCTTCATCACCTTCATTGGAGTCTAAAGGAAAAGAAGAACAAGAGCAAGTTGTCATTGCTCGTTTCCTTTCATCATTACGACCATCAGAAGCAATGCAATCTTTGCAAAATGATTGTCAGTATGAAAAGCAGAGATCAATTCATGTATGTATAGACCTAACCCCACCAACCCCAAGCTTATATTCTATGCAGGGTCAAAGTTGGCCTTACCCTAGTTTTTCCCCTGAAATAGCCATGCCCATATACCAAATGTGGCAGCACGAACAATTATTACAGCTTCAAAACCACCTGTTTACATTTCCCATTTCTCCAGTTCCTGCTGCTAGCCCTCAGATTCTTCCATACGTGCAGTCTAGTTTACATCCGGATCATCATCTGTCATTTCAAGCTAGGGACCAAAAGCCTATCCTTACGGCTCCCAGGCTTGCAATTGCTACCTCATGCCCTTCTCTTTGCTTCTCTAATCATACAGCTTCACAACCAATCATGGGTAGGTCTACAGTGACTATTCAAGAGATACCTGAGGAGGTCAAAGAAGAATCATCCAAACACTCTCCGCCTGTAGTTAGAGATCCCCCTGTTGCTGCTCAAACTAATGTTGAATTGGGTATGGAGGAATCAAAACAAGAAGATCACAAACAGAAGAATGTTGACTTGGAAAGCAAAGGTGAAAATGGTCATAGGAAATTGGATGCTGGTACCCGGCCTGTCAACTACCAGTTTCAAAATCCACATGCTTTCGAGTCTTCTCATCTTAGACCACAGCATCCCCCAAGAGCCAGTTACAGAAATTCTAGTACACCATCCTCGGCAGCAGCTCCTGTGATGATCAGAACAGTCAGCCCAATATCTTCCACAAGACCGAACACGCAAAAGCTGACAACTCAGGTGCCTGTCCCCCCAAGAATGAGAAGTGGAGCTCCACCATTTTCAGCCAGACCAAGGTTTGAAAGAATCAATCTTGGTGGTATGCATTCCAGTTCCATGGTGGCACCGCCTGTTAGAATAAGATCAGTTATACCAGTGTGTTCAGCCCCACAACCAAGACAAACACCAAGCTTCAACCAGGAGGCAATGTTGCCCGACAAAGAGAAGAAAGATACAGCACCTGAGGATGTGTCAACTGCAGCTTCAGAACTTAATAAGCTTAGCATGTAAATGGAGTATAATAGTCCATAGATACCACAGGATGCATTTTATTTTTAACTACGACCTCATTTTTGCATTTTATATTTTAAAAAATAAAATATTTGATTAATATTAATCACTTATATATGCATGTGGTGAATGATTTTAAGATTATTTGTTTTATGTTATATAACCATTTAAATAAAATTAAATAAATTATGATATAAAATATATAAATGATTAATGATCCTTTTTGTATTAGTGAAATAGTTTTATTTTTAATATTATGTTTTGAATAATAATCTATTATGATTCAAAGAATTTGAAGGCATGAACATTAAAATTTTATTTTTTATTAGCATTATTATTATTATAAACAAAATGTGATTATTATTAACTTATATAAAAATATGTAAAAAAAAATAAATAAATATTTTAATAATTAAAAAATTAGCCTTAATTCATTATTATTTATTCATCATTTGTGAATAGTTCAAATTATTTTCTCTCAAAATGAACAATTATTTCTTTGGTTTAAATCACTTTTGTTTTAAAGTATACTACTATGAACGGCTATGATTAGTTTTAGTAAAGTTTGTGATGTCATCATCGTCGTCAATTCTGTTGATTTTACCGGTGGGACTTTTAACATAATTACCAAAGTACCCTTATGAATAATACGGCTATATAAGCGGTGGTTTAAAACCCTAAACCTCCGTTCACCGCCATCACTCCCTCTTTATTTTTCAACAACGAAGCAGACCAAACCAGGACTTAGGTAAAGGAATTTAGGGTTTCTTCTTGAACAAGGTTGCATTTCATCACTGCTCATTACCTTGTTTGTTTAATATTGGTTTCCTATTACTTCTTTGTGATGATGCTAATTGGGATTCTTGGTTTTGTTTTCTGTAACTTCAACTCTAATGGGTTCCTTTAAAAACGCCTAAATATTGTATTTTTAGCAGTTTTGTTTGTGATTACGAATTAAAGAGGTAATTTTATGATCTGGATAATTTTTTTTTTCATGATTTGGGCCTCTAAGTTTAGTGGTTTGAACTTGAAGTTTGATTATGTTGTTAACAGTAAGTTTATGGTTATAGTTTCTCAGGTCTTTTTTTTTTTTTTTGGAAGATTGAGAAATGCTTGTGTTGTTCGAGACTCCGGCGGGCTTTGCCCTTTTCAAAGTATTGGATGAAGGGAAGCTAAATAAAGTTGAGGTAATTTCATCTTCAAATCTTGTGAGCATTAAGAGGAAGATGCTTTTTTTATGGGGTTATGAACTGTGTACAAAGTACTTTGATTAAATGAAGTTAGTGGCTTTATGTTTTAGTTTATGGAACTTTTCAGTTCCAAGTTTGTATTGAAATTTGGGTTTTGTTGTTGCAGGACTTGTCAAAGGAATTCTTGGCTGCTGACTCAGCAAGAAAGGTATGACTTTTTAGGGTTTGTGAGCAAATTTGTTTCCTTCATGTTAGTATCATGCCTTATGGATCTCCTTTAACTAAGGAGCTGATCAATTTTTTTTAATATTGTTAGGTTGTGTCATTGAAAGCCTTTTCCAAGTTTGAAAACACAGCAGAAGCTTTGGAAGCCGCAACCAAACTACTTGAAAGCACACCCAGCAAAGGTCTACGCAAATTCTTGCGTGCTCATTGCAATGGTGAAACATTAGGAGTGGCTGATTCAAAGCTTGGAAATGCAATTAAGGAAAAACTGGTCTGTTAATACTCTTCATATGGGGATTCTATGGTGATATTCTTTCTGTTCCATTCAGTTGAATCTTATTTAAATAGAAGTAATTACTTGTCTGCAGAAAATTGATTGCATTCACAATACCGCTGTTATGGAGTTGCTGAGAGGTGTGAGAACTCAGTTGACAGAACTCATATCTGGTCTAGGTGCTCAAGATTTGGCTCCGATGAGTTTGGGTTTGTCTCATAGCCTGTCTAGATATAAGCTGAAGTTCAGTGCTGATAAGGTACTTATAAGTAATAACAATTTCTTGTTCCCTTGATTAAGCATTGTCTGTTTCCTTTAGAATGGGGAGCTTTTTCTGTGAGGACTTCGTTGAACAATTCCCAATGATAGTAGTATATAAATAAGTTGGTGTAAGATTCAAGACTCCAGAGGAGAGTTAAGTTTAGCAAGGTAAAATTTCAGTTTACAGTCTAGGCAGTAGATCATTGCAGTTGTTTGATTTGACATCAGTGACCTTATTGATCACTGGATGAAGCAATAAAAAATGTAAAATGAGTTGAGCATTTTCCTAAAGCTAATTCTTTAACGTGTAAGTAATATGGTGTTATATAAGATACTGATTAAGGACTCATTAAAAAAGAATTTCCTGTTTATGTTTTATGTCTTATTCTCTCAAAATGCTTAAAAGCATTAATCTCTTCGAAAGCAATTGCATCTCTCTTATTTGGCTTTGAAGTTTCATGATAGAGGCATTAATATGGGGTGATGGTGTGCCACTATAAGGTGGAATTCATGTGCTATCTAATATTTGTTCTGTTTTTAAAGAACTTACTTAATTTTAAGACATTTGATTCTCTAGAGCTATTGTGACAGTATACTTTACTCGTATTGTTTTAGGTTGATACAATGATTGTTCAAGCCATTGGCTTGCTTGATGATCTTGATAAAGAGCTCAACATATATGCAATGAGGATTCACGAATGGTATGGTTGGCATTTTCCAGAGCTTACCAAGATTGTACAGGACAATATCCTTTATGCCAAGACAGTGAAGCTAATGGGTGACCGTGCTAATGCCGCCAAGCTTGACTTCTCTGAGGTAAGACTTTTGATTCACTAATCAGTAAGTTAATACCTCAAGCTTGTTTACCAAGTGTTCCAGTCCATCAATATGAAGCTTGCCAGTAGCTTGTGAAAAATCGTATTGTCCTCACTGTTGAGCTTGACATGAAGTGCTTGAAGGAAACTTTTTCCTTTTTTTTTACAGAGTTTTGTTGCTTAAATTTTCACAGATATTACCAGAAGAAGTTGAGACAGAATTAAAGGAGACAGCAGTCATATCCATGGGAACTGAAGTTAATGACCTTGATCTTATGAATATTAAAGAACTATGTGATCAGGTTCTGTCACTTGCTGAATACAGAGCTCAGCTGTATGATTATTTAAAGAGCCGAATGAACACTGTTGCACCAAACTTGACTGCTCTTGTTGGCGAACTTGTTGGTGCTCGCCTCATTGCTCATGGTGGCAGCTTGTTAAATCTTGCAAAGCAGCCTGGAAGTACTGTTCAGATTATTGGTGCCGAAAAGGCTCTCTTCAGAGCTCTTAAGACAAAGCATTCAACTCCCAAATATGGGCTTATCTACCATGCATCCTTGGTTGGTCAGGCAGCACCAAAGCACAAGGGGAAGATTTCCAGATCACTTGCTGCTAAGGCTGCATTGGCAATTAGATGTGATGCCCTTGGAGACGACCAAGATAACTCTATGGGACTTGAGAACCGAGCCAAGGTAAATCATAAACTTGTGTTTGGCTTATTTTTCCCCGTGCGCCCCCCCTCCCCCTTTCCAAAAAAAATGTAAGGTATTTCTTGCACTCTATACTTTGTAGCTTGAAGCAAGATTAAGGGCTCTTGAAGGAAAAGAATTGGGACGATCTGCTGGTTCAGCTAAAGGCAAGCCTAAGATTGAAGTCTATGACAAGGACAGGAAGAAGGGGGCTGGGTTGATAACTCTGGCCAAGGTTTCTGCATCTGAATTTCATCATTTGTTGCTTTTAGTGTTTTTTTGTCCTTCTTTAGGTGGTTTATTTTGACACAGTTGCTGTATACAGACTTACAATCCTGCAGCAGATTCTCTTCTTGGGCAAACAACAAACTCCATTGCTCTTGATGAGCAAGACACAGTCCCAAAGAAGAAGAAAAAGGTTGAAGTAGAACCTTCTCAGGCAGGGGAAGCAGAAGCTCCTGCTATTGAAGAAAAGAAAGAGAAGAAGAAAAAGAAGAAGAAAGCTGATCAGGAGGCAGGTTTGCCAACTAATGGAAATGAACCAGAAAGTGAAGAGCCATCTCCAAAGGAAAAGGAAAAGAAGAAAAAGAAGAAATATCAGGCTGAGGATGGGGAGAATGTTGAAGTAGGAGTGAAGAAAAAGAAGAAAAGAAAGCATGCGGAAGAAGAAGAAACTGAAGTGCAGACCAAGAAAGAGAAAAAGAAGAAGAAGAGAAGTGAGGATTGAGAAAAATCCAGAGTTTGTGGTGATTGGCTGCCAAACAAGTTTTGGGTAATATAGGCTTAGGCACTTCTGCTTGTAAAATGTGACATTTTGTTGAGTTGATAATTATCTGGTAGTGTTCTTTAAACCTAACTTTGATGTATTTTCAACTTCCTCATGGATGCAATTGCAAGGGAATATCAGAATTTTTTTTTTTTAATTTTCTTTTGCAATGATATGGAAATGGTAACCAAAAGCCTTCATTTTCCCTATGAATAATACGAGAAACTAGCCAGCTTTATTGTATTGGTGCACTTGGACCTCATCTTCATTTTGGTTAATTGCAATGTAGAAAAAGAAATTAAAAAAAAAGTATGTTTTCCAAGTTTTTACACGATAATAACATGTAATTGGTATTACAAACTTTGAAACTTGAAATAATAGAATTTGGAGTTTAATTTAATTAATTTATGTAATTATTATTTTTAAGAGATGATATTCAATAGATATGATATTCAAATTTCAATATCTACATAACTCCTCTAATTTTCAGGTGATAGTTTCTTTTGTACCAAACAAAAACTTGAAATAGATCGGTTGCTATGTTCTTGAAGTTGCCATTGCCAGAATGTCTCATGGATAGTTTTACTTGTTGGTTTGACATATGTTATTAACTTTCTTCAGAAATTGGTCACGCTTTCATGGCACAAAGTTTAAAAACACCTGGACGCCTTGGAAGCAGTACCCAAACTGACAAAACGGAAGCCCTGCTAGGATCTTCCTTGACAGGTTCATCTCCAGTTCTTATACAATAGCATAATTGCCTTATGTAGAAAATTGTAGAAAATGAAAGATTAAAATTATGAGCAAACCCCGGCCTTCGGGGGCGGAA